AGACAAAGCAGGTATAAGTATGCCTAGTTTCTCTGGGATGGGAGCAAGCTTTGGCGCAGAGCCAGAACCAGAGCCAGCACCCGAGCCTGAGCCTGTCGAATCAGAAGAGGAGAGGGTAGCAAGAGAACTTGGAGAGCACGAAATCACAATTGTGGACTTGCAATCACAGATCAGAGGAGCTGTCATCCGTATGGGTCTTGGAGACACTATGCAAGGCTTATGGGACGCGGAAGAGAAGCTTGTCGATTTGCAGTCAATCATAAGAGGCAAATGGGCCCGAGAGATTGCCGAGTACCGTTTGAGCATGAAGCGTTTCGCCATCAATCTTCAGAGTGCTGCTCGAGGTTTCCTTGCACGAAGTAGGCAACGTGGCAAAGAAGAATGGTGGAGAGGCAGAGAGTCTGAGGTTCTCACCCTGCAGAGTCTGATGCGAGCGCGGAAAGCCAGGGTCGAGACACAGCAACTGAAGATACGCGCAAGAAGGGAAGAATCTGGCGTTCGATTTTTGCAGGCAGCAATACGAGGCGCACTTCAACGAAGAATCGTCGAACGCCAATTCGAAGAGACCAGAGGTGCTTCAGCTACCGTACACGGACTCCAAGCTGCAATCAGAGGAATGCTCCGACGTCGAATTATACAGGACGAACAGTATAATATTCAACGGGCGCAGAAAGCAATCACAACATTGCAAGCAGCAGCACGAGCAGCCAACCAAAGGCAGCACCTGGCACAACAAGCTCAAGCTCTTGAGAGATCGCAGCATGCGATCACAACATTGCAAGCAGCAGCACGAGCGGCTAATCAAAGACAACATCTAGGACGACAAGCGAGAGCTCTGGAGGACCAGAACGAATCCTGGTGCTCGTTACAATCACACTCAAGAGCAGTGCTCGTTCGGAAACGGCTCCAGACGACTAGAAACGAGCTGTCCATCCAAAATAAACCGATCACGACAATCCTAGCCGTTGCACGTGGGAATCGCGTACGGCAGGACATGCTTTGGATTAAATGCTCGCTCAGCAATGCAGAGCAGGACATCGTGGCTCTTCAGGCTGCAGCTCGAGGCTGTTTATTGCGTCGAAGACACATGGCTCATCTCCGAGCCTTGGGAAGCCACGCCTTCGAGATCATCTCTTTCCAAGCTCACCTCTGGGGTCGACATCTCAGAAAACTCCAGTCCCGTCTCCGCCAGGACCTCTTTACAAATTTGTCAGAAGTCATACAGCTTCAGGCACTGTCTCAAGGACTATTGATCAGATCCGATGTCGGCTACCTGCTCAGTCAGCTAGAGGACGAAGAAGTTAGTATAGTAGAATTTCAGGCTGCAATCCGAGGCAAACAGGTCCGTGAAAAGTTCGCGGAAAAGCAGCGGTTTTTCAAAGCCAATATGGAAAAGGTCGTCAAAGTACAGAGCTTCATTCGTGGAAAGATACAAGGCGAAGCTTACAAGAGTCTGACGAGTGGCACGAATCCACCTGTTGGTACTGTTAAAGGCTTCGTGCATCTCCTGAATGACAGTGACTTTGACTTCGACGAAGAAGTAGAGTTCGAGCGGCTTCGAAAGACCGTTGTGCAGCATGTGCGGCAAAATGAGATGGCTGATCAGTACATTACCCAGTTGGACATCAAGATCGCCCTTTTAGTAAAAAATAAAATCACTCTTGACGAAGTCGTCAAGCACCAAAAGCATTTCGGCGGCGATGCGGGAAGCCTTCTTACGAACACGGACATTTCCTCCAAGGATCCCTTCGATCTCAAAGCCCTCAACAAGAACTCGAGAAGGAAGCTGGAACACTATCAAGAGCTCTTTTTTATATTACAGACCCAACCTCAGTACCTTGCTCGGCTCTTTAAGAGAATCCGAGAGCAGGCAACCGCCGAGAAGGAGTGTGAACGAGTCAAGCACTTGATGATGGGGCTCTTTGGCTATGCGCAGAAAAGACGAGAAGAATACTATCTGGTCAAGCTCATCTCACGAGCGATGAAAGAAGAGATAGACAATTGTGCTTCCATTCAAGATTATCTGAGAGGCAATTTCTTCTGGGCGAAACTGTTTGGTGCCTACATCAAATCGCCACGAGATCGCAAATACATGCGTGATGTACTATCTCCGATTATTAAAGACAGCATCATTGACAACCCAGAACTGGATCTCGAAAGCGATCCGATGCAAATTTACCTGTCTGCGATAGAAAATGAGCAACTGCGCACAGGTCAGAGGAGCCAGCGAAGCCCAGATATACCACGCGAGCAGGCCATACGTGATCCAGAAACGAAACGGACATTTATCACTCATCTACAAGACCTTCGAGACATTGCGGATCAGTTCTTTGCTGCTCTCGAGGACGGTCTACAGAGACTGCCTTTTGGCGTGCGATACGTCGCCCAGCAAATGTTTCAGAATCTTCTCTCTAGGTTTCAGCACGAAGAGCAGGGGTACATATTGCAGATTGTTGGACATTGGGTGTGGAAGGCCTATCTCCAACCTGCCCTGACTGAACCCGAGAAGTTCGGGGTAATCGATCGAGGGCTGTCACAGGAGCACAAGAAGAATGTTGGGGAAGTATCTAAAGTGGTGGGTCAAGTCGCCACCGGCAGGCTGTTTGGTGGCGAGAATGTCTTCCTTCAACCGCTCAACAGCTACGTTGGTGAGTCGATTGAGCGTCTCGGCGAGATATGGGGCAGCTGTGAGTTCCATGTATTACTTGAACCTGCCTTGAATTCTACTGACAAGTTGGCACCAGTGATCGACGTCGCGAACGCTGAGACCCACTTCGATATTGACGAATTTAACGACCTTTATTCACGGACCAAGCCCACCCTGTACATTAAAATGGCTGATATATTCGCGGTTCATCATCTCGTTGCAGCTGATGCGTCACATATTTGCCCAACGCGAGATGATATCTTACAGGAAGTCATTAGAGAGCTCGGTAGCGTCAAGAATAACGAGAACGAGCTCATGAACGTCAGCAAATCTGAGATCTCCCTCACGCTGAACCCCAAGCTGCACGAAGCTGAAGGTAAGCTTTGCCTGCCCAGAATCTCCCAGGCGAGACTGACATTATTTGATAGATCCCGATGCTGAAGTCAAAGCACTCCTCATGGAGACCAAACGCTGTATACTATACGTCATCAGGGTGCAGTCGGGAGGCGACCTTATGGAGATTATGGTCAAGCCAATTACGATGGAAGACGAGGATCGGTGGGAGGCACTTGTCCGGGAGGAACTTTCAGCTGGAAGTCACAAACGCGGCGCTTACGCAGAAGCCGGTACCATCACTGACATTGCCTCCATGAGCTATGCAGAGCTTAAGCGCACCGCTCTTGAGAACATCCTCCACCTCGAGCAATATGGCCGTCTCACCCGCCACAACCACTACCAAGATCTGCTCAATGCTATCGCAGTTGACATACGCACAAAACATCGCCGGCGTGTTCAACGTCACAAAGAACTCGAGACTGTCAATCTCACCCTCGCCCGCCTCAGAGACCAAGCCACGTATCTCGAACAGCAACTCAAAATCTATAATGACTACATCGAGCAAGCCATGGTGACTCTCCAGAATAAGAAAGGCAAGAAACGTTTCTTGATGCCTTTCACCAAGCAATGGGATCATGAGCGTGAACTACAACGTTCCGGTCGCGTGCCAAAGTTTGGATCCTTCAAGTACTCAGCCCAAGATCTTGCCAATCGCGGTATACTCGTATCTTGGCAAGGTTACAACGAACGTCAATGGGACAAGATCGACCTTACGATCTCCAGCAACGAAGTCGGTGTCTTCAGCATCGAAGGCAGTAATGGACCGATTGCGATGCCTGGAGCTAGCGCACAAATACCACTGGACGACCTGTTGCAAGCGCAGTTCAACAACACACAATTCTTGGAATTTTTCCCTGACTGTAAGGTCAGGGTGAATGTGAATTTGTTCTTGCATTTGATCATGAGGAAGTTCTATAAGGACAAGGACTCATGATAAGAACAGTAGAAAGCGTTAGAAATACGGTGAGAGCAGTTCCATGCATTGATTGATGAAGGAGTACGCGGAGTGAAAGCATTTACACGGTCTGCATTGAGACGAAAGCGCTCCGTTGTTTGGGTCTGATTGTTTGGCGCTCTGGTGTATATACACATTGAGTCTTTGCCGGTTGCATAACATCGGTATTGCCAACCAGGCTTTCCCAGGTTTCTGGATCGGGTGAGACTCGGAAAAGAAATGGACGACCTCGTACATACACGCGATCTTGACACTCATCAATTCTGTGCTCAGATTTCGTGAAACAAGATCCTAAGAGCCCTTTCATATGAAGTGATAAGAAAAGGGAAGCCCTGGCGATGCGTCAAACGCTGTAACCGCAAAACAGTCCTGTGTTTCGTTGCGCGTATATCTGGAATGCGCGACGGCACCAGGAGTCCGCCACTCATTTATTTTCCGGACTTGAAACTGTATCCACATAGGCGTTTTATGTTTAAGATTTAATTGAGAGATCTGAAGCATGGTAAGGCACGTTTTCTACAATCTTGGCTGTTTCACTTGGACGGACTGGTTGTTTAGAAGGTGAGTGGCGTGATGGAATGTCATGGCGATAGGAGTACAGGTTGATATATAAAATCTATGCGTTCACTACTGCTGTATCAACTCTCGTTTGCTTCTCTTGTCCGTTCCATCAATAAGATACTCTACGACCTAAGTATCCCCATCTGCATCCCGACCATCACACGATCAAACCGCAGCCCCAACTCCACCACACCATGCGCGCCCTCTCCCGTCCCTCTCCTCCATACTCCCTTCGCAGCCGCGCAGGCTCTTCCCTTAGTACGCGCCCATCCACCTCGGCACCGCCCACCTCAACCCCCGATCCAACATCCGTGACCGGACTAACAATCCGAACATCAACAGACCTTGCTATGCAACACAGCCGACCTGATAAGCGCCTGCACCGCCAATCCTTTCCTCGTCTCCTGCCCCGCCACCGGCTCTGCCAGCCAGTCGGTCACCATGGCTGGCTTCGACGGCACGGACTATGGCTGCGACGACGACGATTCTCCCACTACGGATGCGACCGGCCCGGTCTGCTTTTGCCAGTGCAGGTGCTTGACTCCGACGGATGCGCAGAATGCACGGGAAAGGGGTATAGGCGGTCAGGAAACTGTGCCTGTGGACGGGGATGGTGCGGTGCAGGAGCTTGACGCTGGTTTTTCTGATGACGAGTCGGACGATGATGAGGGGGAGGAAGTGGTACTTCTGCGGATGAGTCGGACGGTGATGAGGGGGGAGAGGTTCCGGCGCCGGCTGTGCCTCAAGGAGGGTCGATGACTACGGTAGTGAGTAGTGCTTCGGTGGGTCCTTTGCCGACTTCGGCCTTTCCTCTTTTCATCTTTTCGCCTCGAAGCAGTGACTCTGAGGGGCTGTTGAGAGGATCCGCGCTGATGGTTATGAGCAGGTGGCTACTAGTACGACTGCATCAGCGACGACGACGACTTCGGCGGTAGTAGAGCAGCTTGGACCGCACGCCGGGTTTGAGAGGGGGAGATTTGCGCATTAATCGACTCAGGAGGGACGGTTGGTGTGGCTGCAATGGTTGTAGTCGCAGAAGAGGGATGTAGAAGAGGAGAGTAGAGGAGGGTGCGGACAGTTATCCGATAGACGGACAAAAATCCTGGACAGTATTGTCAACACAATTTCTGAATCTTGATGCAAAGTCCTGCGTCATCCGAAGTCCTAGTGACGTTTACCTTGGACATTCCTTGACAGTGATCGTGCTTCTTATCCCAGCCAAGTTTTCTTTTGGCCAACGATCTGAGAAGATTAGCTTGAGGTCGAGGCTGCTAGAAATTGGTGGCGATCTAGACGTACAGTCTAATTTTCCATACTCAGTTGGCTTTTTCTTCTTTTCCTCCGCCAAAACAAACTACATCTGGATTCTTGACGCTCTTGCCTAGGTTTATCCAAATATGTATGGTACCTACCCAGGTTATGGCATCTTAGCGACCTGCTTGTCTTCCTTCGTGTGTTCGATGCCAGCCTATATTGAATCTCCCAGCTTGACGGACTGTATGCGACGGCTCCGGGAAAGACGGCCTAGATCAGGGAAAGTCTGAGTCGAACAGTCAAATGCACAAAGAGCTTAGTGTAGATACTCAAGGCTCACACCATGGCGGCTCTTGCGTCTTCGGATCTCCCTTCCGTTTCCTCCGGCTCAAATTAATAGCACATGGAGTATGGCAATCGGCAGATGCTGTGGGAATAGAGACGACGATCTTCCTCAGACCTGTAACCGAGCCGCTACAACTAGGCAGTAGACTTGTGTGCAACCTTCGTCCTATGTACTCTTCAGTGCTCTCGATGGAAATCTGTTGCTTTTCTTGCTCGTTGGAGTTTCCATATAGCAAAACCTCCCTGGACATCTTTGTTGTCTCACGCAGTCCCCGAGCTGTAGTAATGGCCAAGGTTAACTACCTGTTTCGTGAAACGGTCGATCGTGAGTAGCGCCATCAAGATTCGGCAACGGTGGTCCATACGGACCTCTAGCGAACCCCGCTGCGCTCCCCATATATTGTCTCATGCAGGTGGCCTTTTTGGGTTCCTAGGTGCTGCGAGCGACTAACTGGTTACGTGCTCGCATGCTCAACTCACTGCTTCCGGCTTTACCCCAACCACCAGGCTTAGCAGATTCCTTGCATTGGAAAATCGTTCCAACTTGAGTCTCCATCACGAGGAGTTCCGAGCTGTCAGTGATGATGCCAGCTGGTACTTTTCAGAAACCCTGCACGATCTTAGCCTACCCGATCTGTTTTGCAGCTGGCCTAAGAGCTTTCCTTGTGTCAGAAGCTGGCAGCCAATGGTCGCTTCTTTGTCTGATGAGAACCGGGTAGAGCACCGAAGAGGAAGCCGAAGCTCGGCCTTGATTAAGTGGAGATCTGCAGCTATAGCGATCGAGCGCGCGCCCTTCCCAGGGACGATGTGATCTATCTGACAATCGCTGCATTCATGTGCGTCTGTTGAGTAGTCTAGAGAGCTGGAATTTGTGGTATTAGTCCAAGTCAGCGCTACAGATCAAGCTATGCCAACACCCGTCCGTCCTGTAATAATTGCAACCGAGTCCTCAGCTTTCCCTTCTCAAACATCCGGGGAGTAATCTCGGCTTCCCCTAGCGCGAGTTCGAAGACCTGAAGACTCGGTTGCATCGGATCTTTCCGACATGTCCCATCCAACCGGCCCCTATTCATGAACGTCTCATTTGCCGTGTTCCGTGGAGCGGTAGCAAATAGAATCATTTGCTGAGCGTGGTGCCATTGATCTGCAAGCAACCGCAAGCACCTGCCACAACGGCAGGGCAAAACCACCTCGATGCTGAAATCAACATTCGTGTCCAGGAGCGAGGGATCAAATCCGATTGCTCTGTGAGAGAAAAGCAACAAGCAGTCCGACTCGGATTGTTCGCGACACGCGTTAATTGCGGGTCACGAAGGGGCAGAGGGGCGATCCGATCCTAGACCCTTGTGACATGTGCTCTAAGAATTTATCTCGCAGACCCTTCTCAAGCATTTATGTCAAAGCGAGCAGAGCCATGTGGACAGGATCGATCGTGTGGGTTGTTTTGATTGATTCTTGCTGCAAGCAGTAGGGCATAGTACCTATTACGAATTGATCTTGCAGCAGACGCACATCGTAGAGGCCTAGCGTAGACGCATATCGTGGACGCATATCAAATCGCCATCATTTGGAGCTGAGGTGGTACGTATCTTCTGCGATCAGTTATTACAAAAATGTCCCATACGTAGAAGAAGCCGTCGAGTCCGTTGTCAGGAGCACAGTGGTGAGGCGACGTTCTCACCTGAAGCAGTGAGACCTCTCATCAAATCACCATCTTTTAGCATGACTGTAGAAGTTGTTAAATAACCTAGCAACTTGATCTGACAAAATCAAAAGTCCAGGTCACTGCGTACAAATACAAATTTCCATGTCCTACAGTGGCAGTCACTTTATAAACGATTGAATTCAGACTCCCAATGCAGAGACACACACAAGCACCGGCATCGTCCAATAGAAATATGCAGAAAGGTGGGGAAGGCCTTGCCATCTTGGCAGTATGCATAAACGTTCAAGTCGAAGGTTGTCAAACACTTGACTAACGCTCGTGAGCACAAGTAACACCGGAGATACCGCTATCGAATTAGACCACCGCTTGAAATTAGCACACCATCTTAGGTATATTTGCGACATCCGTAATGCTACGCGACCTGCAAAGAGCTTCTTCTAAGTAAAAGTAGTAAGCCTGTTGGCAAGATAATGATCCTCGAACTTGATATCGGAGCCGTCATGCTGCATGGATTCGCAGCCGCTATTGAAAGGATGCCCAAAGAGGGGTTGATCTTGTCGGCTGAAGACGGTCCCGTTTTGTTGAGTTTCTGGGTTCTCGGTCATGCCTCCGTAATCGTAGATACTGCTTTCCGGAAAAGATGGCTGTGTAGAAGACAAAGGAGGCGTCAGATAATATGGCAGGCCACTTATACCGTTCCAGCTCTGGTGAGGAGAGGCCTGGCAGAGCGGCTCGTCCGGACGAGTGTCGAAGGTCATGTCAAGCTCGCTTTTTGGGTAGCGGCCGTATCTGGTATCGTGGTCGAGCCACGCAGACCTTCTCACTTTGGCAGACTTCCTGGCGGCTCGCCCCCCCTTCCTCCCAGAACGCTGCCTCTTAGGGTCGGCCTGGTCGACATTGTCACTCTTTTTGCCAACCGTCTTCTGGCGATATCTGGTAGTTGACTCAATGCCCGCGCCAACAGCAGAGGGCTCCAAGACCCAAATGAAGCCTTTCTTTGCTTTGTTTGATGGATCAACATGGGGAACCTTTCTGAACGCCTGCATCTATGTCAGTGTCTCCGGAATAAGTGCGCTTTGCGGTTTGCAGAACTTACCCCGTTCATTGACAGGTTGTGTCTGACACTGTTCTGCCATCCCTTGAAAGCCGGATCTCTTGCCTTGTCGGTATTCTGTGCTATCCACTCATAGATGTCCTTCAACACCATCTGGTGCTCCGGAGCATCCATCAACGCTCGATATATCAGCTTCGCATACGGAGGCTCGCCTTGCTTGCCCTCACTCTCGCTCTCGCTGTCCAGTGGGGCGGACCGTTCCGTCTCCCGGAAGGGGCGGTGCAACTTGGGCTGAGTCGGCGTCCGCAGGTCTGAAGAGGTCGCATACAATGATGAATCTAAAGAAGGTGCGGTATCATAGGCATAAGCTTGTGGCGGGTTATACCTGGGCCTAGCCCCTGTTTCTTCAAAGCCGTTAGCAGTTGTGAAGTCCGTCCAGGGCCGCAGTTGGCTTTGATGGCTTCGAGTGGGCAGAATAGGAGGTCGAATTGCTGAGTTTGTTTGAGTGGAGGGGGCCAATTCCTGGTCTGTTTCGAAGGAACTGTTGTTGAATGAAGACGACAATGACGAGAACGGTGTTGGCAGCTGTTGATGAGGTCCAATTCTCCACTTATCATCTCCTTTCGCCTGGTCCTCAACATCTCCGAAACAAGTCCGCGAATGGATAGCAGAAGAGCTTGGCTCCGTCCGATAGCCTAACGACGTATGGCCAAAGGTCTCTGATTGTTCCAATTTTGGCCATGTAAACGAAGATTCCGGACTGATGTAACCTTGACAGGGAAGTTGGTGTAATACATCATGACTGTGATCTGAAGGCGCTGAAGCTCTGTTGACGAGCAAGGCGGGCATGATCGTTTGTGAACCGCTATCAGTCATCGGAGATTCGCGGGGGGCCAAAGGATTGTCAGAATTGAAGTCACTTGAATTGTTTGGCAGATCGGGGGAATGAAAGGGACGATGGATTGATCTGTGTAGCAACATCGCAAGATCAATTCTCCAAAGAATAGAATTGAGACTGTTCCTTTTTGTCCGATTTGGAACAATGGCGATGTCAGTGTAATAGCCTTTCAATTGGCGAGCAAGAGCGATATGTGGGTGAAGCTTGGGTGACATAGCTTGTGAAACATGAGAGAAGTAATTCAATTGACTGTTAGTCAGATCTCCAACCTTTGATCGCACGGAAGCCAGCTCACAAACACGAGCTGGCCCTGCAGCAACCCTGTCGTGTGCGGCAAGCAAACAAGCATGGCATGGTTACAAAGACTGTAAACACCGTCTCCGTCTGCCGCGTAAAAACGGCTTCCAGCATCACGTTGCCCAAGATGCGTCATTTTCGCGGAGATGTGTCCTTGCAAATCGTCCAGTTGCAGAGCTTCGCCGGCATGGAGCCAGCTTTTGCACTCTGTCAGGAGGGACTTTTGTAATGCTGATTCCCGAACCTCGTCTTCGTTTTTGAGACTGTAGATAATTTCGGAATGTGGTTATTGGACCACACGGCTAGTTGCATACAGGCAGATTCAATGGCAAATGAGCCCTGATGTTCACAAATTACTGTTGCCAAGGCTCTAGAATGTCCAGAGAATTGCCAAAACAAACCTAGCCACATGATCATTGATTGATCATTGATTAGGTACTCATCAAGGGAGAAAACTGAGAATGGGAGACTGCACTAAGCCGCCAGATACCGCCAGATATCTGTAGGAGAGGCCATTGATCCCAGGTTGTACGAAAAGCATAATAGAAACTCATGCATTGTTATCTCAGAGCCGCATTTTTAAGATCAAACAGCATAAGAGCCTCAGAATTCCACCTCCCGATGGCTCCAAACTAGTGCACAGCTCACAAGCAAATTTTACGTAAGCACCTAACGGTCTGACAGCCAGTCAAAATATTTTGGGATATCACTGATTGCATCAAGTCATGATCTTGCTTATATTAATGTACGTGAGCGAATGGAGACGGTCGTGCCACTCGTACTTGTCGTAAAATCCGTAAAGAAACTGGAGACCTAGGCGACCGAGGTGTTTGATGAGCATTTACTGTTCTAGTCAACACACATAGTTCTGATGAGATGGCGACCCTGAGAATCTGTACTTAGGCCTGCGTGTGCGCCACAGCAATGTGAAAGACTTGGCCAAGGAGTCAAGCATTTTCAGACCCGAAGGACTTGTTACACAGCTCCAGACCTCCAAGGAACCCATTCCAGGGTGGCGCTCTAGCAGACTGTAAGATGCTTAAGTTTTATTTGCGATAGTAGACCTATGATGGAGTCAGTAAGAACTCGAGAGCACAGATGACGAGAGCGGCTTCCCTTTTTGAACTGGAAGTGGAGTTGTAGGATGCCCTGTTAACGAAGGTCAGTCATTGCTTTAGGTATTAGAAGGAAGGTAGATGGGTAATGGGAGAGTAGCTGGATCGGAATTGGTGGCAAGTTAGTTGACTTACCTTGTCGAAACTGCTTCGAAAGCCGCGCTCTCTCTTAGCACTATAGTCCCATTCTTTGTCTACGATTCGGAATGCCAGATCTTCGTATGGAGGACCACTAACGAACCGGATAAGGCACGTATCCTCCTCACCTGCAGGTGCAAATGACTCTCCTCGCTTGCGTCCATTTTCACGCTCAATGCGATACGTTGGAGCTTTAGTCTTGTCAATAAGATCTGGGTAGAAGACGTTGAACTTGTAGCCTTGGACAACCTTGGGTGGTGGATTGTCATGATCGTAGTGGGTCTGATTGTACTTGTTCCATTCGTAACCCATCTGAACACGATTGAAATAGCGAGGCTTTCGCGGGCGGTATTTGCCAGCCCATTGAGGTTTGGAGGATGAAGACAAGTCTTCCTCGCCGGCAAAAATCTCTTCATCTTCTTGGACGCCTCTAGCGACTTCTCTTTCATACAAAGCTATTGTTGCCGATGAAAAGTCTTCGCTGGGGACGGTTGCAAAGCGAGAGGCACCAGAAGTGGGAGCCTCAGCCGTCTTTGAGGCAGCTACTGGTGCTTTCTTGTCTGATTGAGCTTGTCGTAAGGGTACATACTTCAGCTTGAGCACCCTTTGACGCTCGAAAGCGAGTTTATCCATGAAGTCCTTCTCGTCTATCGCGTCAAGGCCCTTGTCCTCAGCTCGAATCCTGAGGAGTGGTTCCGGATCTAGATCTCGGGAGTACTTTAGAGATGGCGGCCCAGCGTTCGATTTATCGACAATCAGGGTCACGCTGTCAGGCCTAAGATCCTTCGAACTGCTGATGTTAGTTAGGAGAGCCAACTTGTCCCTTACAAGCACCGCCTCTGCACGCTGCTCGTGCCTGAGATCATTCAAGCGACTCTCTATGATGTTCTTGTAGACTGTATTCAATTCCGCCCGTGACTTATAAACAGCGACATTGCGCACCAGCTGCTCCCAGTACTCCACGTCGATGGGCTCATTGGACTGCAATTTATCGGAGATTTGTTTCTCCAGGTTCTCTAATTCTGTCAGGGTTTTAGGACCCAACAGTCGATCAACGTCTGCAGCTACGGAGCTGGCGGAACGTCCACGAGATTCTGCAGGTACTAGCCTATCCTGGTAATCCTTGCATATCAATTGCAGCGCCTGAGATAAGTCAGAGAAGCGCCAGCTATCGGACTGGACAAACCATGCCTTCCAATACCGGCCATTGCTCTGATTTGATTCCAGTGCCATGTACGTCTCGATGTCTTTTCGCAAGTCCTGGAGCTGAGGTAGATCAAGGCCCTCAAACACGGCCGAAGGATCCACGACGTCGATGTCTGATTCATTAGTGTCCTCTTCCAACGGATCCCTAGTCGGATCGATGACACCCAAAGTCACAGCAAGCCAGTCGATAGATTTTGCCCGGCCTTCTCTCACACGTATGTGAGCCTTCTTTTTCGACTGCTGCAGCACGAAGTCATCCTCTTTTGAAACCCATTCTCTCATCTGCTCCGCCTCTTGTATTTGATTTAGGCGTGTCTGCTCCCTGGCGAAGCTCTCCTGCTCTTTTCTCGCACTGATGTCATCATCTTGGGCATGGTCACCGCCCAAACGTCTTGGTCTATCCTGATTTTGGTTGCGTCGATGATCTTTGGCTGGTCTTTGCCACAGAGGTGGGGAGGAAGGTTCGGACCTCTTGCGGGACTCATGTATAGGCATCAGATTGGATTTGCTCATCACGTCGAAGTAAGCAGGCCAGGATAGTTTGTGCACACAATGGTAGTAAGAAGTATTTTCCGGTAGAAAGGTGCTTCTCTAATATTCAACGACGATAAGATGTACGGGCAGCTAGTGTGAACGTATGCATCGCTCCTGCAGGGTTCGCCAAGCAGCACAGTAGCAGGCGCTAGCGGGCTAGCTAATCCGCAATCTAAGGCACCTGTGTACAAATTCAAAACTCCACCTCGTTCTTTCTTTCAGTGCTTTTGGGTTTCGATGCTTCAGAGCCATGCCTTCCGCCTGGAAGCCCCTTCTTTTGCACCGCAAGAATAACAGCATTCCTCCTCTTTTAGTCAAATACGACTTCGGGCCAGCGAACTATAATGTATGGCTTACAGACCTCTCGTATATATGGACCGAATCACTTGATCGGAGACAAATTACAAGTAGAGCACTCAGCGTTGACACAAGCATTGATCCCAGCGAAGACTTCGCGCAACTACGTCTCTTCCTTAGAAGCATTGAAGATGCTTTACGGCAACGTCCAGGAACTAGTGTAAACTTGATCGAGAGCAATGAGATCAAACAGTTGACCGTACATACGTCAACTCCGTTACCACATCCCCTTCAGCCTCTCGAATGGTCTATCGTGCTTCTGCTTGCGTCCCAGTCAAACTTTGCTTCGGAATTCGTAGCGCCTCTTCTAAGCCAGCAGCTCACTGCAAAGGTGGAAAAGGCCTCCCTGCTACAGCAATTGAAGGAGAAAGACAATGTCATTTCCAAACTGATTGACAAAATGCAAGGCGATGGTGTCGATCTGGGAAAGTTGTTTCCTGGCGCGGTGTCATCAAAGTCAGGTACAGGACCCTCTGCACGTCGCGCTGTCGCGAAGGCTATTAAGGGTCTTGGAGAGTTTGACCAGGATCTATGGGAAAGCCAACTTGCAAAGGATAAGGGGCTCTGCAGAGACCTAGATGTTTTTTTGACGCAAGTATTCGATGATGACGGGAAAGACACTGGTGAGGGACTGCATATCGCAGATCGTGGGGATTGGTGGAAGAGGGTAGGCCACAAAGGTTCGCAACGAGAAGGAGCCACGCCACCCGGTGTAAAGACCCATGCTAAACAAGCAAGTGTGGTAGAGGATGAGTTTCAGGTATGTGGATTTCGCAGTTTGATGAGAGGCAGCTAACATATCTTAGAGGCAATCGACTCCTCCAAAGTCTTTAGCTCAGACACCGAGACGCGAGGGGCTGATTAGGGACACTGCGCCGAATTCTTCAAGCATTCCAGAAAAAGAGGACCCAGATGAGGTTGGTTCGACGACTGACGAGAGCGATGACGACCTTCAGTCTTCCTACTCCAAGCCTCTACCCTCGCGTACAGCCGACGAGGTAGCGACTCGTTCTGCGAATCACTCTCAGGGCATCCAGTCAGCGCCAATGGAGTTGGACTATGATGGCTTGACCACTTCTCCGTCAGACATCGATAACAGTCCTTCCAAAACCCATTTGGTGCCAAAGTCAAAGCCGAAGCTGGGCAAGATTGGTGGCAAAGGCAAAACCAGCTCTCCCAAAACTCCTGCGTTACCAACATCAAAGCCAAAGCTGGGCAAGATCGGTGGGGGAGGCAAGCTTGCTAAGGTACATGGCATCGGGCCTGTGTCTGGTCAGAATGAGGGCGCTGCGTCGGACATGCCAGAAGATCCTGTGAGCCCAAAGCGTGAAGTGAGGGACCGAACTGCTGCACCAAAAACACTGGAGCCTGAGAAGAGGGGTCGGACGGTCCAGCAGCCTTCAGAACCCTCACCTCCTAGAGAGACTTCTCAAGAGAGAGCAAATAGAAAGAGGGAACAGCTGAAGCGAGAGCTCGAGAGTAAGAGTCAGGCTGCAACCAAAAAGAAACGTAGATTTTGATGCCGGTCTTTCCGAGCACAGAGCTGCAGTCGCTAGTTTGATCATCATGGTACTTACCACGACTTGAATAGTCAAACAGTCGCCAGCCGGTTAATACATGCGATTTGGCGTCACTTCAAACCTCTGGGTGGTTTACACGTTGGATGTGAGACTTGTTTTCGCTTACTTTACTCGAGTGCTGACTCAATTGAGTAGTCCTTGCTGCCTTGATAGGCATTTAATGTGCGGCGCTCCTTTTGAGCCTCTGTTGATATGTGGAGTGTTATGGGGGTTTTGTGAAATAGTCTGGCCTTGTTAGACCCTTGGAGAACAATAGGAAGCCTAGATCTAGGGGAGACATCGCCAGATAGGTCAAGGACTCTCTCTGTGTCGCGAACTGTGAATGCATGACTCTGAAGTATAACTTTCTTCCATGCTAAGCCTTCCAAACGCCCCATAGGGCGCAACGATAGGACTCATCCATTGCATGACTTGCCGGCTTGGCATTGTAAACAACATTTTGTGTTCAACATTGCTCGCCAACCACACCCCTTTCGTACCTCCATCACACTCCCTGCTTCCAACAACTTAAACACTTGCGTTGCTTAAGTGCTAAACCTGAATGTAAAAATATAGTGCTCACTGAAAGGCACTCACTGGGCTCCAGAGCCAACTCCATTCCAAGTGAGAGTACTGATCTGCTGTTGTAAACTTCTCCTTACTTTCTAAGCCAAACCACTCGAATCTATCAGACCATAATGTCATCCTCCCAGTCATCGAGTCGTTCTCGCACCGAAGAAGACTACCATACAGCTGAAGAAGATCACCTTTCCTATGCACAAAGATCCAGTGGGGCTTCATCAACTGTAACAACAACCCCAAACGGAAGTTCAGACAGCGTTTACGCCACTGCCAACCAGACACGGATTGCTAGTCCAGACATGAGCAGAGGCACAGCTTCGTCGATCCCTATTGCTGCTCAGTATCCAGGCTCACCAACAGCAAAAGCACTAGACAAGTCCTCACGTCTCTGGCCTCCGAAAGCTGCACCTCAGGTGAATGACGGTCAACCTACAAGTCTAGCAGATACTTTCCAGAGCAACTATCTTGAACACCGAGAAGCTAGTGACTTTTCCTACACCTATCGACCTGCACCTATCGATCCTAGCCCACAACAAACTTTTCTTTCAAGTCCACTTCCTTTCAACAACAACACCTGCCCTCTGATATCGAACCACATTACAGACACTCACCAAGGGCTACCAAACATCGAAGAAAGCGAGATGCCGTACGAGTATCCCTCTGGGATGTTCATCATGAATCCTGAAGCGCCTGTTTTCGTACCACGTCAGGGACGTAGGCCAGGTATGCTACCACTGTCTTGCAGAGCTGTATAAGGCCCGTATCTGACTAATTTGATAGCAATGAGGGCACGTAACCCACACGACTGTGTGTACTATGGTGCTCCGCAGCCAAAGCCAGGCCAAGTGGCCGGTAAGAACCCCGTGTTTTGCTGTCCACATCCTTGTATTTTCGTTGTTTCTTACCTATCAACGCTGCGTGTCACGGACTTCTTTCCCTTTGTCACGTGTTCACAACGACCTACCAGCCCAAATTATACTAACGAGCATCAGCAGCAGCCCCCACCAACACGCCAAACGTGGCCGCCCCAGTTCCAAGAGTCCAGCTCTATGGCAGCGGACACGGCATGTTCTTCGACCCCAACACCGGCATGTTCACCGGCGACGGCGCCCCCCGCAAGTCTCCTTACCGCGCAGACGGCACCTTGCCATCCAAGCCCGACCTGCAAAACGACTACATCACCAACCAACAGTACCCGGAGCCAGCCGAAGACATGCTCCACATCCAAACCAAGTGCGAAGTCACCAAGCGCATGGCCGACTTTGGAAGGAACGGCCCGATTCAGAAGTTCCGTGTGAAGCGTCCGATGCCCCAGGAGTACCAGCAGGGGACGCGTGTGATGGTGGAGAAGGAGGGGCAGGGGAGGGAGATTCTCGGTCGTCGTGCGCCTACTGCGGAGGAAATGGAGGGAAAGGGGAGTGGGCCCAGCCGTCCTGTGTACATCACGGATGAAATGGAGGCGAATCTCAAGCGTTTAATGGGTATCACGGGGGAAGAGGAAGAGAAGGAGGGGTTGAAAGAGAAGGAGATCGGGGCTGAGGAGGGAGAGGATGGGGATGAGAAAGAGAAGTTCGAGGGGACCGGAGTGCAGGATTCCGCGGTCCACAAGGGGAAGGGAAGGTATGCTGGCCCCTTCTAGGGGTTGTATAGCCAGACCTGCATGTTTTTTGTGTGTCGGCTGGCGCGGAGAAGCGGATTCATGTTGCTGGAAGATACCATTTGATCGGGCTCTCCCAGGGATTGGACACCTTGACCTCCACTAATTTGCGTGTGTCAGCTTGAGCACAGAAATGGAATAACGTTGCTGGAAGATGACCTTTGATCACGCTGCTAGTAGCATCTCTCGAGAAACTTGGTGACGTCGTTGTGGATTTCCGGCAGTCTGGGCGCTCTCTACTGGAGGAAGTACAAAATCTGGTATGAGAAAATGCTCAAGTAGGTACATGGCATGGTTTCTGACGGACGGGTACAAAGATTGCAACTGGCAAGCTCATAGAAGAGATCTCTAGTGTGTCAACCGGGGAAAACGCAGTAGGTACAGAACCCGAGAGGCATGAGTAGCTTAGGGCGAAGGTTAGCTGGCCTCAAAGATAATACAGCTGCAATGTCTTCAAGCAAGACATGACACGTGCTGATTGGATCAGGCCACTATCCTAGTCTACTCGATGATACTAGACGTACCTCACGCAAGCAAGCATTTTTCAAGCTGAAGGACCTCTCAACATCCTCCAAATCTCGTCTATCGCAGCCACACCCGTGACGTAATCCATGCGTCTGCTTAGCGCGAGCTGTAAAGAACATCTGTGTTGGACATTTTTTCTTCATAATCTGTGATAACCTCGACCTCCGCGTCTGACCCTAGATGGTGGATTTGTGATACGGTGACAAGTCTTTCTGCCGCAAAGGCTCGTGCCTACTCGGCCCATAAGCGTAGCTCGTGTGGTTGACTTGTTTGCGCACAGCACGCGGGTCAGACTGCCCGCCCTTAGTCTTGTGGTCACGACGCACACTAGCTAACCCTGCGTCGTAGCCGCGATCGAAGGCAGTCTTTGCACCGCTAGGGCCCCATGGCATGAGGCTTTTGATTTCATTCTCGTCCTTCAACTTCTTAACTGCTTTGTGGTAGGTATCGCGGTCCTTGCTCGTCAGGGTGCTTAGAAGTGGAACGATGTTGGTCTTAAAGTTTTTTGATTTATCCATGCAGATGTAGTTTTCTTCACACGATTGCTTGATCTTGCTCGTGCGGACGTTGAAAGTCCTGACAAGAAATACCGCGTGATCTGGCTGTAGCATTGGGAACGTGTATGGAACGAGTCGTCCTTCCTGCTCTTGGAAATTGCCATCATCCTGTGGCGTGCCACCGCCCCCAACCGAAGCCCCACAGGGCCTAGGACCAGGATCATCATGAGCCTCGTCACTTCGATCGTGAGCCCGATAGCCACCACGACGCCTAGACCCTCCATACCTCTCGTTTTCTTCCGAGGTTTATCGGAAGGGCTGTGTGTTCTTGTGAGACGTAAAGAATCGAACGAGGATGAGGAGAAAAGGAAGAGAAAAAACGCGGGGGTTCAAGAACTCAAGCCTGTCAGGGTGGAAGCTCAATACTGTTTCTGGAACGGCGGTTAACTTAGCGTTTGAACTCTCCAGTCAATGGCTAGTCATCAACAGTGTGTGGCCCAAAGCTATCTACAGAGTGGGGTCGAGGCGAGGCGAGACGGTTCGGATCTGGAGATGAACAAGTTCGTGAATCATCCTTGCGGCTGAAACACAGCAGTCGGAAGACCGCCTTTCCATGGCAAAGAATCCAAGCCTTTCATTTCCTCGACCTAGCGAATGCGCTGTGAACACGCTGATGCCGCCGGTGTGATCACAAGGCCGTTGATATGTAATTAATATCGATTCGATTAGGGTGAGTACCATATACATGGAGTTCAAGACCAATCGCTCAAAAGGATCTCAGGAAGCCACCATAATTCCATGATATGGTAGGCCATCAAAATAGAGGATTCTAAACCATTCAAAGTGCAGGAGAGATCGACAATAATGTGCTGATGATGGTCTAGCCTCTATGAAGACGTGGCATTTCGGTGGCGGCGGGTGCCCGATATATTCTAGTACCTAGTGAGTGAGGCCGTGGGCCGCCTGGAATGGTATTGTCGTGGCGCGAGCCTCCCTGCTGATGGTGTCGTCGCCGCTTGCATAGCTAAGCTGACCCGGTCCCTACTTCTGGGCTTTTTTTTGAGCTCATAGCTGTGCTTTATACGTTTCAGGGAGCCAGCCAGGTGATTGAATTCCAGCCCTCCGATGCGTTATCTCGTTGGTGTGCTGTTTGCCTTGTCCGATGGTACGTGGGTCTCGTCTGAAATCTCCAACAATCCCTCAGGTCCCTCAGATCTCTCACCCCTTAACTTCTTGTAGCTCCGAGGTATCTCGGTTTCTACCCAACAAGAAGTCTACGTAGCCCAACCGCCTGCCTCGTGCTAGGCCAAGAGCATCTTGTGCCAGCCCAAACGCCAGGCCGCCATATAACCCTATCCGGATGGTTCGCGCTGCGGTGTTCAGGGGTAGTATATCTAACATAGCACCATCAGCATCGTGGCCGGGTATCTCTGGGTTATACAATGTAGAAGCACACACTCCAAGGCTGTCCACTGAAACCCGCAGCAATAGTCATTCCAGCTACGACAGTCGATAGGAAATCTTTCGTCCCACGCCATTCATCAACGGCTTCCTCGACTAAGAAGAAGCTTCCAGTCCAAAAACCGATCTTGGAGCCCATCTTCAACCCTTCTTTAATCCCTCCTAGCATCACGTGGTAATTCTTGCTTTTGTGGTACAGGTACCATCCCGTAGAGGTGGCGGGAAAACGGTGTGAGTTCTCCGCTCGGAAACGCATGCCTGCTAGTTTGCCTCCGTGAGAGACGCCCAGAGCGGCTCCAGTGAGAACAGCGCCCGCGGTGGCTGCTGAGAAGCGGACGAAGAATGGGATGGAGAGACGGTTCTCGTATGATGGGACTGGCTGTGGACGGTACTTAAGTGGGTTACCAGCGTCAACTGGAAACTCTTTACTCTCCATAACGTTTTCTTTGTAATAGTGTAGCTGCCAGAGCTTTCTGCCTGCTCGTTGGGGAGCTGAACCAGGACCTAGATCAACCATCGAGTAACTTGCTTGGCACCCAACTTGATAGGGCTGAAAATCGCGTCTAGATCTATTGATATGGCGACATCTATTTGGACCAACGCGTCAAGTTTCACAATCTCCAACACAGCACGCATCATGGTATGAATGACCCTACGAAACGTCTTGCAACACAGTACTGACTCTAAAATCCCTAGCCAGCCAAGACGCCCGGTGGTATGCAGTGGACGCTGCGCTTTAAGCAGCACAAAACCACTATCCTCCTCTTCGTCCAGCAAAGCCAACCCTTCGAATCCATAAAGCGCGACCTCCTAGATGCAATCAAAGCTACAGGTATTCAGGACATCAACGGCAATGCTCTACCTTCAGGTCCGGAAGACATCGAGTTTGGTGTGCCAAGAGACAAGAACGACCCCAGCAAAGGTTGGGTAGCTCTCAAGATCCCAGAGGTTGAGGATGGAGATACGAAGGGCAAGGGTGTCAAGAAGGGTAGCATCTTGAATGAGAGTCCATTGGGTGCTGGGCTGAAAGATGGGACTATGCTGGCTTTCAAGTTCACAAAATCAACCGAGGAGGCTGCAATGGATCTGGATGATGAATGGGATGTCATAATACCCAGCTACGACGACGAGGCTGGGAGCCAAAGCCAGGGTCGTGGATGAGGCCGGATGCTTCGATGTTCTACGAGACCATGACGTAGCATAGTGAGACACATGGTATTGGCAGATTTAACACCCTCGCCGACGAGTGGACATGCTATGAAGTCGTTGCCGCTATCAAGAAGCCTTGGAACTACTTCGTACTTCCACCTGGGTCTCGCTCCACTTTCACATCTTTACTTCGCCTCACCACTCCTTTTTCGAGTCCGTTTCAAGTTCATTCTATGCTCATAACTACCAGAGGAAGTGGCACATACTTTTCTTAGTCTTGCGTTCACCTCATCAAAACATCGATCCAATCTTTACCATTATCCTGTATCAAATATTCTTCGCTTCTCTCCACTGGCCTACTTCAAGGAGCTCAGCTATGCAGAAGCCCTTCAACGCCGAAGGGTTAGACTTGACCTTCCTGTTCGATTCTAATTATCCTGAACGGACCATCACTGAAGCCAACAACTCGGCAGCTACTTCCATTGCCATGCCAGGCTTCACAACGGAGCAGTCACTGTCTCTTCAGCGGATGCTTTCGATCCCCGTCGGTGAAGCCCTTGAACCAGTGCCCAGACCCCTGGGCGGGGTTTTGAGTGCTTGAGAAAAGGGCCCTCAATCCCTATCATTCAACCCCAGCTTGGCCTGTAGTACTTCTCCCGATCTTGGCTACGGGACTCAGTCGTCGACTCTCCACAACCAGCTCAGTCCCACTGAACTCATCAAGCCATCGGCACTAGGGTCTCGAACTAGTCCAAATGATCGCGGCACAAAACAAGCCTTTCAGCCAAATGGTGCACATCTTTCGATCGAGAATGCAAGAAGTCAGGGAGTTTTTTCACCTTCAAGCGTTAACAGCGTTCTGGCAAAGCGCAAGGCCACTGCACTTGACGAGGGTGTGATTTCCGCAGCGAAGAAGAATTGTAATTCGGCTTTGTAGAAAAAGAACCCTTCTCAGATCCAGACAGGCAGCGATATAGCACGGAGGTGCAAGTCAAAGAGGAGCCCACGCCAGAGATACTACTGCAGAACTTGCAGTCATCTTCAACAGAAGACCACGCATCGATGTTTCTCACGCCAGCCCCCAGTCTGTCAGATTCGCAGCCACCTTCCTTACAAGGCCAGGCGATGCAGCCAGAACATCCCGAAGCAAGAAAGTCTGTTGACGAAGAACAGTATGACGAAGAAGCTCTCATCAAGCAATTCGTTGCAACAGGCCATGAAAAACAGCATTTCACATGCGAAATGAAGCCATGGGGCAAGTGGGTCACCAAATCTTGGAGTAGTGGCGGCGTCTCTCGGCGGCCATACGGTAAGTAGAACAAGAGAACAATTAAGAGACATGTGCATGCTTTTGGGGCGCTCGTCTTCAAGAGCAGAATGCGGATGGAGGGCGAAGGCGTCACCTTCGAGGGTGGAGCAACGAGTGCGTAGAGGGGGAGATGTCTGCTGCTATTGAGAATGAGACGGTCTTCGTTGAGGAGGCCTTCGTTTCTTTAGATTTCAAAAGGTGGTCTTGGGGGCTTCGGCTCTTGAGTAACGGTTCGCACAGGGTAGTAAGATCGGTTCATCGCAGGTCTAACAAGCTCCCTTTGTACCTGAGCACACATTTACCCTGCGATTGCATTGCAGCTAGGAATACGAACCGTCCTCATTAACCAATATCCACAACTCCTGCCTTCTCTTCGAAGTACTTCCAACGTACTCCCAAGCTGCATCTTGTCACTGAGCGTATCTATTGCTTCTCTTCCTTGGCTCTTGTTCTAGTGCAGCGAGAACTATCGGCAAGGCGGCGAGAACCTAAATATGTACTTGGGTTTTTGGCCGTGGTTCAGTGTTCCAGCGTGATATTTCCTGAACCGTCAGCTCTTCCACCCTAGCGCATTCACTCCCTCCCCTTCCTATCTTCCAACCTAATACATTCACTTTTCTCCTCATCTTCTATCCCCGTCACTACCAGCTCTCCTTCTCACACCTACGTCTTTTCCTCCCAACTCACCACTATCTTACAACACTATCAGCGTTGACCTTACTGACCGGACGTTTGACTTCCTGATATCTTCAGGACATCGTCACTTGTCTAGTCCAGCTTGATAAGGCCGTCAAGCAATTGTTTCGAGAGCAAAGTTCACTTCTCGTCCTCAAACCCCATCTGTGTTTATCGACACTTTTCCTTAAAGCCAGTTGCACGTCATCGCCACGTCTATCTACATACAGACTGTAGGTTCATAGGTCCCAAGTCACAAGGACGGACGCTGATCAAGGCAGAAGCGGCGTTACTTACGTTGAGGGCACATTTTCTCTAAATTGTCGGCACTCTATTTGCACGTCTGTCTCCGTACAAAGTGTAAATGTCTGGGCCCCAATGCATACAGATAGACTCTGATTGAAGCAAGGAAAGTACTATCTCGACAAACCTGTCCTCAAGACCGTCTTATCCGCATATTGCGCTTCGACGGACCAGTCCTAAAGGCTCAAACTCTATTGCAAACCCAGGAGGCCGCAAGGCCAAAAGCTTGCACCATCTACGTTTTACACTTTGACACCAGTCGTCAGGTCTTGCATCACGGTTTGCACAATTGAAGACAGCATCCCATTAGTCGTTATGGATCCAAACGGGGCCTCAGCACCAAGCTTAATATCTTCACTCGAAGCTATGATCCAAGCCTCTGTCACTGCTGTTCTTGACCGTCGTCTCGGTACAGGCGATACCTTGGATGCCCAAATCCAGACCACTGTCTCGGCAGCCCTTGACAAGCGCCTAGGTCCTGCGGTAGGGTCCCTAGGCAATCGTATGACATCGTTGGTCGAACAGCGTCTTGGGAGTGCTATCAGCACACTGAATTTTCGGGTCAATACATCAGTCACAGCCGCTCTCGAGCAAAGACTTGGTCCCGCTGGCAGTGCTTTGACCGCTCAAATAACCTTTACTGCAGCTCCTCTTCCAGTCTTGCCCTCTGTGGCCCCGCCCAAAGCTCAAGCGTTGGGCGTGGTAAATGGGACGAAGGAAAGCAATGAAACCTGTCCGGCAGAGGAGGAGCTAGGGAAAGCCCAGCCGATAAGTAATGGTGCATCCACAGAGATAGAGCAGCCTACACCGAAGCAGAGCCAGGGAAACGGTGGACCACCAGAAAAAGAGCGGCCTGCGCAAAAGCTGAGTTCGGCACAGCAACTGTTAGACACTGGGCTAACAGAGAAGGAACAGCATGCGCAAAGACAGAATACGGCTGAGCCAAAGGGTTCCAAGACCACGTCTCCAGAATTGGGGGACGAATTATCACTCCCTACAGCAACATCTGCGGAGAGCAACGAATCGGCAAGCGCAAGTTATCCACCTTTCGCCAACGGCTCTTCAAAAAGCAGGGCTGGTCCAAATGCCGTCCTCGAGGCTGAGCCCAACGCAAAGACGGGAGAGCCGTCCAGCAGCGCAGACAAGACTCCGGCAAAGCGCAAGGCTAACCAAAAAGATGAAGCAAACAAAGCCGACGATACAGGCGAACCAGAATCACCCTCATCGGAGGAGGAGAGCGACCACGAACAGCCGAAGAGAAAGAGAGCAAAAGTAAAGCTCGACCCACCGGGTTATACCGATGGGCCCTCATTGAAATTCCGGAGGGTTTCTCCTAAGTTGACTGCGTGTGCCAAGAATCGTGGTTACCCTCGAGTAATAGATCTCAAAGGTTTCACTGAGGCATCGAACAAACAGAATCTCACAATGGCAGACGTTGTTGCAACAGTACTGTTCAACTATGACCCCTTAAGCTTGTATGCGTTCATGGATATGGACAGTCACCCAACATTCCACTTTCTTCGAAAGGAAAGCGACCGAAAGGTCAGAAGCTTGGTTATCGAGAGGCGCAGAGAGTCATATGGAGTTGTTGTGAAGGTATGTGGTCTCCAGCTGATGGCTGGAAGAACGGCGCTGACGCAACATAATAGTGCGGCTATCACCTTTCACAGGCCGATCGTACCAAGTATCGCTCTGATGCTAGTCGCATATGGGAGACAAAGTACGAATACATCATCCTTTCAGTTGGGAAATGGGTTGCATCAAACTATATGCAGGATCCTGTCATATCGAACAGCTCGAAGAGAACGATAGAGCAGTGGGCAACAGAATTTGGGACAGGGGTCTTCCTTGGAAGGTTATGGGTGGAGAGTCCCGGTGCAAAGATTGTATCTGATAGATTGGAGTTACCATCGAGGGGGGAGGGAAAGACCTGAGGCTAATCGGAGCGAAGATGGCGGCTGTGGGCTGCTAAAGATGGGCAAGAAAGAGCCTAGCAAGATGGAGAAGTCTCGATGATAAAATCACTTTTGTCAATAAAAATTCGTGACTTGTTTTTTAAACATAAGCAGAAGAAATACAAAGAGATGATTCACCAACCACCGCATTGAGTCGAATCCCACGCCTAATTCTAAGCAAGTCGTAGAGTAAGGTAAAGTACCTACAGTATGCCAAGAAAGATAGATCTGATAAGATATCGGCGCGGTTCCTCGGTTGTTGCTTAGGCGACGGCGGGTAGTCCTCAGAAACAGTAAGGCGCTATAATTCATCAACAGCTGGGCGCAAAGCGAGACAACGATAATAGCTAGGTACGACTTACAGAATTGCAACCATAGCGGCCAGGTTTTTTCTTTCCACCAGGATTTTTGGGCTCCGTGTCATTCTTGACCGGACTTTTTGAGACGCGTAGCCCACGCAATTTAGTCATGGCGGCCACAGAGGGAGCTTCCTCCATCAGCGTAGCGATCAGAGTTCGCCCATTCACTGTATGTCTAGCTCAGCCTCTGTTGATCGGACTCTGGCTTATCGTCACAGGTCCGGGAAGCTGCGCAATTGACCCATGTGCCGGATGGCCCCCTCTTCCTCGGTGATGGCTCGCTTGCGGGAGCTCCAGCGCCCTCACTGAAATCAAAGGGCATTCGCCCGGTGTTGAAGGTGGTGGACGACAGATGCCTGTGAGGGCAATCTTTAAAAAAACGATGGATACGATAGGCTGATTCTTGCAGTGTTTTCGACCCACCTGAGGACCATGCAATCCAGCGCGGCTCTAAATTTACTGGGCCGAATGGCAGAAGATCGAAAGATCAAACTTTCGGCTTTGACCGAGTGTTTGACGAGAACACTACCCAGGGAGATGTCTACGAAGCCACCACAAGGAATCTGCTGGACAGTGTGCTGGATGGCTACAATGCTACAGTTTTCGCATACGGAGCCACAGGGTGCGGCAAAACACACACGATCACGGGGACAGTGCAAGCGCCTGGTGTCATCTTTCTGACGATGCAAGAGCTCTTCGAGCGAATTGGAGAAAGAAATGATGAGAAGCATACAGAGGTTTCGCTCTCATACCTGGAAATATACAACGAAACCATTCGAGACCTGTTGGTGCCAGGAGGAAGCAAGCAGGGTCTCATGCTCCGCGAGGACGCCAACCAAGCTGTGTCGGTCGCTGGTCTCTCAAGCCATCACCCGCAGAACGTACAAGAGGTTATGGACATGATTGTGAGAGGAAACGAGTATAGGACGATGTCTCCTACGGAAGCCAATGCCACTTCCTCTCGATCGCACGCTGTTCTCCAAATTAATGTTGCACAGAAAGATAGAAATGCGGACATTAACGAACCTCACACAATGGCCACTTTGAGCATCATCGATCTGGCAGGAAGCGAGCGAGCGAGCGCTACAAAGAACAGAGGCGAGCGACTCCTGGAGGGTGCAAACATCAATAAATCACTTCTAGCGCTAGGAAGCTGCATCAACGCTCTCTGCGACCCGCGGAAGAAGAACCACGTGCCCTATCGCAACTCCAAGTTAACTCGGCTGCTTAAATTCTCTCTTGGCGGCAATTGCAAGACCGTCATGATCGTTTGCGTCAGTCCGTCTAGTCAGCACTTTGACGAGACCCAGAATACGCTTCGGTACGCCAATCGCGCGAAAAACATTCAGACCAAGGTCACAAGGAATGTCTACAACGTGAATCGCCATGTAAAGGACTTCTTGGTTAAGATTGATGAGCAAATGGCCCTTATAAACGAGTTGAAAGCGCAACAGAAGGATCACGAAGGAGCAGCATTTGCTAAATTCCAGAGGCAAGCCGAAAAGCGAGAGATGGTCACAAGAGAAGGCGTTGCTAGGATTCGCAGCGCTTACGAAAACTCCGAGAAAGAGCGCATGGACAAAGCCACCAATATGAAAAAGCTCCGACAAATTGAAAGAAGGATAGCAATGATTTCTTCATGGGTCGCTGCTTTCGACCAAGTATGCGACAATTCAGAGGAGGAAGGTGCCCTTGAGAACATTTCAGCAATGCGCAAGACTGCACATGGTATCCTTCTCGAGCTCGAGAACAGCAGACATCATTACCATCAAAAGCTCGTAAAGAGCAATTGGGAGCGTGCGATTGATTCGGCATTGCAGAACGGCATTAGACAACTCAAAGAAGCTGATGCAAGAGCAGACGGACAAGACGCAGCTTGCTTGAGTAGGGAAGTTGAGATCCTGAAGGCAAACGTAGACCGGGAAGCTTTGAACGCTGTGGCAGAAGATGAGAAAGGTGGTGACGCTGGTCTAGTGCAAGTGATGCTCCAGACTCATTTTGAGACGATAGCCGCCATTCAGAGCCTAATGGCAATGGACGAGGAAGAAGCTGTGGGAGCTGCGAAGAAGATACTCGCCAAGATATTGAATGGCTGTACGAGTGCCACGTTTCATGTTATCAAGCCTGATGGCAGTCTGATTCCCACCCAAGCATTTCCTCCTACTCGGACTGGAACGCCGAAGCGAAAAAAGCAAGTCGCCTCGCCGCTCAAGCCTGTCCTACCTCCATCATTTGCCAGCAACGCGAACTCCTACGGCTCTCCAGTCAGGATGTCACCGAAACGGCGGAAGGCAGCTAAAAAGGGAGTTTCCTTCACTCCCAAGAAGAAGTCACCAGGAAAAGGACTGAAGAGAGGCGTGCGATGGCGTGATGATACTGCGGAAGGCGCACTTGCAGAATTCGAGAAGACACCACAGCGAACAAAACTATCACCGGACATCTCGTCTAGCGAACCTACAAAGTCTCTACCACCCACCTTATCCACTTCCATTATACCGGACGAGACATTCGTTGCAGAAGACCAAACAAATTCATCGCCCATACCCGCGCCACCGGTCCCTTCTCTTGAGGTAAAGCCTAAGCACAATCGATTCAAGACTGGTTTCCTTGCAAAGAAGACGGATGGTTCTCCACTACCACCGACCCTCACTAATTTTTCGTCTGATTCGGACCAATCTCCTTTGCGAGAGCTCGAGCCAGGGAAAGGTGCAAATCGCTCATCGCTTCAGTACGTCCGGAATGTCGTCAATGATACAGCACTAAACGATAGCGCAAACAATTCGGGCTCCGACGTCGAAGATGGATGGAAAGCAAACAAAAGCGACGCAATGCAGATCAAGACCGCAATCAAGCGAGTCTCGTCCGTAGCGCCAGGGAATGCCAATCCAGTCAATCGTCAACGAAGGCGAAGTCCACCTGGCGCATCCTCCGGAAGCCCACCGAACGACAGCAACATGTTTACGGCATCGCATGCGCGGCGAATGGTGAGAAGCGAGAAAGAGAATGACTTCAAAGCCAGCATACTCAGCCCGCGCACTGCACCTGTGGTTAAGTATGCGGGTCAGCGAAGGACTACCATGGGTACCATAAGTGTGAGTGAGACCAGATCGAAAGATATGGGTATGCCGGCAAGGGAAGCAGTGCGCTTAAGCACGGCTGTTACAGGGAGCGGAGGCAGCGGAGGCAGTGGAGGAAATCCCAGGGGCAGTCTTCTCGTAGGGGGCAAAGGCGCATGGAGATGAGGCTCGTCCCTCCAGAATGTCTTCCTTTCCTTCTCAACATTATCTTCAGCGCTTCAAGCTGTTGTTGTGCAACGAGCAAGGCGTTCTTTAAGGGGTCAAAGTTTTGCTGGCATTTTAGCCACTCACGATGGCGCGAAAATGTATATACTACGTTCGATCGTTTCACGAAGCATGGCTATGTTCTACCCACGGAGCTCAATAATTTCTGCTATATTTTTTTCATGGTTCTTTCACCGTATACATGTAGTGTTGTGTGTCAAATGATTCCATATCATCGAATTCCAAGGGTTTCGAAAATCTCGCCACCGAGATTACTCATCCTTGAATTGACGTCAATCGAGTGGTCCAGATCCATACATAAACACCTCCATCACTTCAATCAATTTAATTCAGTCACACAATCAAACATTTTTCAAACTGAAGCCCCTAACAACCCTCATCCTCTCCGTCCTCGCCCTCATCATGGCCTCAACAATGCCCAATTTCCTCACTCGCCTCTTCCGCCCCTTCACCACCTCCACCCGCATGTCCCTCAACCCCGAAGGCCGCTCCACCGCCGACTTCCCAGCCAACGCGCAGAAGTGCACCGTAGCCGCTGGCTGTTTCTGGGGCGTCGAGCACCTCTTCCGCAAGACGTTTGAAGGGAAGGGATTGCTGGACGCGAGGGTCGGGTACATCGGTGGCGATACGAGTAGTCCGAGTTACAGGGCCGTTTGCTCGGGGAGGACAGGACGTACGTCTTTCACCCCGCTTTGCCCTTCCTTGATTGAATTGGGGGAGGGGGGGCAAGATTGTGCCGTGCTGATATCGCTCCACCGCTCGCCACAGATGCCGAATCCCTCCAGGTGACCTTCGACCCCTCCACCCTCTCCTACGCCACCCTCCTCGAATTCTTCTACAAAATGCACGACCCCACCACCCCGAACCGCCAGGGCATGGACACCGGCACCCAGTACCGCAGCGCCATCTTCTACCACTCCCCGGAGCAGAAGGCGGAGGCGGAGGGCGTGACGCAGAAGGTGCAGCGGCAGTGGTGGAAGCAGGGCACGGTTTCTACGGAGATCTTGGAGGCCGGGCAGTGGTGGGACGCGGAGGATTATCATCAGTTGTATCTGCATAATAATCCGGGGGGGTACGAGTGTCCGGCGCATTTTGTGAGGAAGTTTCCGGATTTGGTGTAGGGATGGATATATCTTACATTGGCTGGAGGAGGGGTCACGGGCTTTGTACGCCTATGATTGTCGTAGTAGAGATTCAATGATGAACAAGACATTCTTTTCTTCCTTAAATCTTTCATCATCGACGTCAATACTGGCTTTTCTCACAAGTACTCCAACGTTCACTATCGACAGTGATAGTTGTGCACCGGGCATTGACAACTTGAAAAGATAATCGAGAAACAGACCCCGGAATGCTGCCACGTCGCTTGTGACCTCTTGAGTAAGCGAGCCTTCTTACGTGCCAACACACGGGGAAGTTGTTGGAAAAGCTGGTACACAAGTGCTTGGAGTAAGGTGCGAGTGTTACACCTCAGTATTGGGTTGTCGGTGTTCATAGATAGGATATTTCACCTATGGATAGAGTCGCTATCTAGAGAGAGAGAGTACTACTTATAGTACTGTATTACCCATCTCATAAATGGATTTCTATTGGTAGCATATACCTTTGAGAGACCGTCTTATCTATCGATTCATACTTGTATCCGCTGGTGAGTGCAATCTACTAGGGTATCAGTGTCTTCAATTCGATAAGTCCGGCGCAACACCAAAATGCCCTACTTCTCACCAAAATCCCATGGCATCTCCGCACGATAAGGATGGAGCAGGGGCAGCCACTGCAACGGACAAATGCAGAGAACGCTAATAGCGCAACGGGCACACTCTCCATGATCCCATGCCGGGCCTCTATGCATAATTGCGGAGAATCTTCCCTCGACTCGGCCATGCTCATTTATATAGATACGAATTTTACAAGTTTGCATACGGCGATGTTTAACCCTACGAGATATTTCTCATGCTTTCGAATTCTAACATCTTTAAAAAGCGTATATATATATAGCTCTATACGTACAATATCTTTAGATAGAAAATTGAAACAGTTGAACATAAGCGTTGGTGGTTTTCAAAGGGTTCTAAATTCGTGCGTCTTTGAGACAGGGACCACGCTACGCTCATAGTGGGGCCACGTATTACTCGTAGGGGGACTGTGGCCAAGCTTTCCACTACTGGGTAGCTCGCGCCCCTAGCACATATTAGGTTATGTACGCAACGATTTTTCACACGATACTGTAATGTCGTGAAAGATAATAAATAACCCACGAATATCAGTTGCTTCCATCTTTTCCCTTACATGTCTGGCGATCCTGTCCATTTTTGTATAGAACGGCATTGATTATCGACGGGAAAGACGACGACCGTTTGTTTTCCTTACTCCATCATTTGATCTCGCTTGCCATCCACAACGATGCTTTCGAATTCCAGTCAGCGAAAGATGACCCAAAAATACTCTGGGTGAGAATGTCGTTGGGGAACAGCGCCTGACCCCGGAATGGCATTGGCGGGCTCTGGACCTCCCAGCCTTTCACAACAGAGTACGGGACGGAGGCAAAGTTGGAATATCACCGGCAGAGCTATTGCGTGCCAGTACTATTACCTGAATCCAGTACTTACAGCGGCCGTAGGGGCCCAACGTCGAGGCCGGCCGACATCGACCGTGAAAGACGGGGACTCCAAGACTGCTGGAAGATCTGTAGATCAACAGCCACTCCATGACTTCCCCATAGTGTGTCAAGCGACCCAATGATCTTGCCTGAGAGACGAAAGCTTTCCCTGTGAACATCGGGTCTGCAGATACGCCAGGCCTCATCAGATGATGAACGCGGTCGCAAACCACTTGACGCAATTTGCACCAAGTGATAAAGCCCCTGTCCACATACAAAATGCAAAGTCGCCCAAGTGATCTTGCCCAGCATTACAGTCTTCAAGAGTCATGCTGCGAAGGTGCACAAGGTGCAACTCCGAAAACAAGAGATGGATTACCAGCCTGACATACTGTAGATGAAGGTACTATCAGATTCTCGTCTTTCCAAACAACGTGCGCTCTTTCGTCCATTTGTTCGCTTCTGTTTCACGTCGTGACACGCGCTCCGAATCGAACGGGCAAAGTTGCCAGAACTAAGAAGTCTTTTGTTGCAAGAGCGCCGAAGCGGCTACTCGATTCTGTTCTCCAGGTTGTTCTCTTGAGGCCGCTCCATGGCTGCGACTAAAGTAGTGGAGGCTCTACTGCTCACGCTGACGGGCCGGCCACCGGGTGGTAAGCTTCACAACGACGCAGCACGACCCTACCACTCAAAAGGAGACCGCCAAAGCTGAGAGCTGGGCTATGCTATAGAAGCACCTCGGAACCCGGACGTACGTAAGCGCGTTCCTCGATAAGTTGCTACTCATTTCAGGACTACCGCTTTGGATGGCGGGGTACGTTACTACAGCTCCATCACTCATCACTGGCCACTCTACGGGCTATCAATGGCTCTTAGGAAAGTATAGATTGAGCATTTGGAATCTCTAGAGAGCCAGAGCGGCAAGAAAGTTCAAAGCGACCCGCCCGCATCCGCAACCTCGCCCCAGATCAACCCAAGCTTCTCAGCATGTTGGTACGCTAGCTCTATCTCCTTCTCATAGAGCTCGATGCTCCTCTTCCTCTGCACCGTACCTTTACCTCCAGCCCTAGCCATTGGCTTCTCCATCTTCGTCAAGACCACCAACTCTTTGATCAATCTTCCGTAAACAGGTCCTGCCTCATTCGCTCGCTTCAAGCTCGATCATATCTTTTCGAGCAGCCACTTCTCTCCCTCGTCGTTCTCCGGCCATTGCCTCGGTTGTAGCAGCACCGCGGGCCTTGTGCGTCCGGTGCCGCAGATCAACGCCGTCGCCACAGCTGGATGCTCTTCGATGACTGCCTCGTAAGGAATGGGGTTGAGCTTCTTGGCGTCGGCAAAGATGACCACGTCGTCCACACGTCCGGCCAAGCGCCACCAGCCCTCGCGGGCGGGATGCGGTATATAAAAATTGCGCATCGACTAAGACTCCGCGTCGGGAAGGGTGTAGAATACACCTTGGAAGGGCTCAATAGCCTCGTCGCGCGTGTGTACGAGCTCGTACATGTCGCCGGCGAAGTGGCGGAACGAGTGTCCCAAGCAGTTATTATAGCGGTAGTACCCCCAGTCCTCTGCCGGTGGCATCTCACCAAGTACAATCCCGGTCTCTGTCAAGGCAAACGTACCGAACAGGCGCGTGCGGGCATTAATAGCGTTGCCCATGTCTGCAGGGAGAATACCGCCGGCGTAGGAGACATCATCGAGCTTGGCGATATTCTCTAGATAGGTGCTATTACGTGCCACGTCTTGGACCACGGATGGCGAATACCAGGCCTCCTGAATGTTGCCGTTAACGTGGAGATGATCGGCAATTGCGCCGCTGAGAGGCCACTCGTTCGCGGTTACGGTAGTGAAGGAGTTGTAGATGGCCCAAGCGAGTAGCAAGACGCCTCCAGCATGTACCCACGGAAAAGAGGTGAGGACCCTTTTGCCGGTCCAGTGGTGTCCGTACCAGGGTTCTCCGCCAAGTTCAGTGAAGCGTTGGAAGTCGTCGTGGGCAGCAACTGTGCCTTGCTTCAGGATCAGGATTTTTGGGGTACCCGTCGTGCCGGAGGAATGCATCACAACATATGGATCCTTTCGCGCCCCTTCCCACGTCTTGGTGTAGGGATATGGTTGGACGGGCTCGTCTTAGAAGAAGAAGTCCAGATTGGAAAGAATGAACTTTCGCATCGCCCGGCTGTTAAGAACTCCTCTTGTGGCGTCAGACATCTGCTTGGGTGTCATGAGGATGTCGCACTCAAGCTTCTCCAAAAGCGCGACCTGGACCTTGAGGCGGTTGCGAGGAGAGCTGTAGAACATCTGATTTCGTCAGTTTTCTCCGGCCGCCTCTGATCGAGCGTTCTAGATATGCCTTGTAATCCGCCTTGATGGCTCCAAAAATGAGGATGACATCAAGTACTAGTACGTAGCAATTGTTGGGAAATCAGCCCCTTTGCCCAGGAGGTCCTCCATCCACCAAGCGCATCGATTGACGGCACGCGCGATCAAGGCATACGACACGTCCCTTAGTCCATCATTCAGATCTGAGCTTCGTGGTATGGACATGAAGCCTTCGCTCACTCAATACGCAGTTTCGAGACGGAGAGAGATGGACCGCGGCTTTGCTATAGCCCGTTGAGCCTGAAAGATGCGAATGGAGCCAGATTCCCCAGTCGGCAACACTTAGGAAACGCACGTCACGGCAGGTGCAGCAGTGCTTCTTACGGTAAAGGTAACATAAGCGCAAGCCACTATGTACCCCTCTGCGAGTGCTCCGAGGTTCGTGCCACCGACCCTATCGCCTTGGATGAAACCAGCCAGGAATTGGCTTGAGCCCATGACCCGGAGGAGGGTCCTCGTCCCAGAGTCAGAGCATCCATGATGACTAGATAATCCAGTACCCTTGCAGTGCAGCCTCATCGTTGCATTAGATTCTGACAGGACTATAGGGATAATTTGCATGAGGTCCACAACTCATTAACCTAGCATTTGGGCCCGTCTTTAGCGGTGATCAGCCCGCTGTGCCAGTACGAGGAAGGTATCCGGTAGTAAGGTAGTCGGCTCCCCGGGTAGAAGGCACTACCAAGATCCGTCCCCTAAGGTGCCAAAAAGCCCACTTTGTTCGACTGATACATTCGGTTAGATCTAATGGTGGGCCGCTTCTTGCGGGATCTAATCCTTCGCCCGTTTTCTAGCACAAACTTAGATTTAGCACTAAGCATGGTAGCACGCAGATCATTGAGACCGCCAATCAGAGAGGCGCGTTCGACTTCATTTTGCGTTGTACCTCAAGGGTATGCGCTATAGAGTAGTGTTGGGATATATTGGTATAAAGTAAAGTAGTAAGGTATCTGAATGGCTTGCGGCTAGCCATCTCGATGATATGGTACTGCTTACTCCGAGATCGTGCTTCTACCTCTTGGCAAAGTGCGAGGCAGCCCACCATTAAGGCAAACCGTCATTGACCTTACTTGGGCCAAGGCCGTCAGTCGTCAGCCTTGCCTTGGTGTTCTTCCCAGTGAGGGGCTTTTTTTTGAAGCCTCCTTCGCTCTCTGCAAGCCGGTACTCATACTGCTGATCAACTTTATGTGGACCCTGTAGACTCTTCAACCAGACTGCGAAGAGATGAGTGCGAGCCTTGTATGTTACTGTTCCGCTCATCACTATCCGCAAAACTCAGTGGCACGATTCATACCAGGCATGCGGTAATCTTAGGTGCAACCTATAGAAATGTGTCGTGCATTATTAGCAGCTAAGAGTCCATCACGGACTTGCTCGGGGCTTGGAAGCATGACTCAAGGATGCGTACTTGGACTTGGTCGTATATTTACTTGATCATCGCCACCTCGTTCGACACAGAGCGTCTAATGCTAATCTCGACTACTTTGTCAACATTGTTGACCATCTCTTTCAACTAAGCCCACAGATTCTCATAAGTGCTCCATTAGCATGGCTCGCATCGCTTCGTCACACACGTCAACACATGTCGTCACTCAGCAAAATGGGCAGCAAGAAGCTCAGCGTTCCTCTACCCTCACAGAGAGTTTGACATCTCGAGAAGTAATACCACCACCCAACGGAGGTCTAAGTGCCTGGATGCAAGTAGCAGCCTCGTTCTGCATCTTTTTCAGTACATGGTATATGTTTTTCCACACACGTGAATTTGCTTCATACCCCATATTGATAATCAAGCCCGATTGACAAGGAAACAGGGAGATTGTAAGCATAACGGCCTATATCAAACCTACTATTCCTCCAGGCTTCCGTTCTCCTCGCCATCTGTCATATCGTGGATGGGATCCATACAAGCAATTCTTCTTTTCCTTGTAGGACTTTTGGTTGGACCGATCTGCGACTCCTGATATGTGCGATCATTGCTTGTTGTGGGCTCGTTCCTCGGTGTATTTGGTCTGTCCATGACAAACATTTGCCGAGAATACTGGCAATTTTATACTATCCCGGGGAGTGATCACCCGAGTGGGCTTTGGATGCCTTTTTCTTCCGGGAGTTACAGTTGTGTCGCAAAGAAGGCGTTTGCGACGAGAGTAGCGTCGTTGGGTAGCAGCATCGGTACATACAGCGCTCCCATCCCTTTCAGCTCGGGACGGATCTGACTTGACACGGGTGGCGTTGTCTACCGCATTGCATGCACGCAGCTACAGCTTGGCATCGGTGGCAGCTGGGCGACTCGCGTCATCGCGTTCATCTCCTTGCTCACCTTCCGTTCGTCGTCATTCGACCGCTGAATTATTTCGCGAAGCGACACTCCCTGCTGGATCTCTCTGCGCTGCACGCTGTACACGGCGCCGTTCGGATGCACAGTCCGATACCACGGTCATGTTGGTATCCCCGTTGAGGGGGGAAATGAGCTTGCACCAAGATTTGACGTTCAAGCATGGGATCGACCTAATGAAGATCCCGCCAAACCTATTTCCAAGCGACACTCAATCCGTGCTACAGTAAAGGATCAGGTCCCCGAGACTTTGCAGTTCACTCAAAAGCTGGTCACGAAAATACTGAAGGATCTGAAGAGATGCGAGAGCTGGGCGTCTAGCCAATGGATGTGTGAGCGCGCAATTACAAAGCTGGGCTTCTTGTGGATATGAGCATAGCCTTGGCGACTCCGCATTATCTTTTCCAAATTCGAACCAAGCTGGTAGGTTCGCGTGTTCCAACGGCAGAATATGCTCATGTTTGATCAGATGATCAAAGACGAAATTTCAGCACGCGGGTGAGAGCATCACCGAACACAAGACTTCTGCGCCAAATTTCGGTCCCAAAGCAAGAGAGATCAATCGCTTAAGAGCGCTTGACCAAGTAAGGATCACCATTGAGGTTCAGCCGCATCGACTGGCCTGCAGAACTTGAGCGCGGAAGGCATCAGAACTGGGTTGATGTCAGTCGACACAAAAGGGTGCAAAAGAACGTGCAACGGGCAGGGTACCACAGGTTTAGTCCTCGTTGTCTCTCTTCGCTGCTACGTTAATCTTAACGCCAAGAGTTGGGGAGGGCTAGCAGCCTTTCCAATCTAAATACTGAGTTGGTGCTTTGCACGAAATACTAAAATGAACACTTTCGTCTTTCGCTGCTCTACGTGCTGTGATTGAATTGGGCAACGTCTATGTGTAGAGTACTGGTTAGGGGTTATTTTATACTGTATTAGGTATAGTTCCTCATATTTTTATAAGCGTTGAGTGGCTTGCGGCTGAGTAGTACGGCTCTCTGGTTGGTCAAGTTGGCCATGCGGGGGCAACCTGGAGTATATCAACGAGGCGAAGGGTAGTTCGTTCTCATTGGTAACTGTACACACATCCTGTTATTGGCATGGGAAGAATTAAAGGAATTGATAATATTATGAAGACGATGCTACTGGGTATGATATAGACTTGTAGAAGCACTGAGCCTCAAGCCTTGAGGGCACAAATTTGGCGCCAAGATCTACTACACTAGTGCGCCCCTGGCCCCTTGCCTTGAAAGCGGCAATCCAACGACGCACGGCAAACTCCGTGTGTGAACGGTGTGTCGCAAAACGGAAAGAAAGAATAGAGCCGACGATGAAGAGGAAAGCAGACGACGACCCTTCCTTTGGCAACAATGTCAAAATCATCAAGACGGAGAAAGATGCCACTGCTGCTGACTATTCTCAAGATGTCAAGAAGAAGATCAATGCATCCAATCGGACGGGTCAGGCATGTGACCGCTGCAGGGTTAGGCCGCATACAATGCTTGTCAGAAGATTCTCGTTGCTGACAAAATCACTGCAGGTCCGGAAGATGCGCTGCGATGATAATGTGAATGGCTGCGCTCCATGCCTACAAAACCTGTCAGAATGCAAGACCACCGATCGAATCACAGGCAAAGCCACTGTCCGCGGATATGTCCAGAGCCTCGAAGGTCGCCTTGAAGAGCTCGAGAGCCACAACCGCTTACTACAGGCTCGGCTTGCATCACTTGGGGAGGACGTCGCAGACATCGAGCCGAAAATCAAATATGAGGACCCTGCTACCGCCCCGTTAGTGCAATGGCATGAGGAGCAGAGGTTAGGGAATCGCTTGGCATGGGACAATAATGGCGGAAGGACAAGAGATTCAGATCATGGTCGAAATCCTTTCGGAAGAAATATGGTCAATAAGCGAACGTCAATGGAGGGATCACCGAGCCGCCTTCCAGAGTTCCGCAGCGGGCTGGCTGGCAACAATTACCTCGGTGTATCAACAGGCAACTCCCTATTAAGCTCGATACGAGGCACTTCGCTGAATGTGTTGGGGATTGAGATCGATCTTGCCGACTACACGTCCGCTGACCTGGACGAGCCTGACCCGTCTCCTGCTGGAACTAGGCCGCCTGTCTACAACAAGTCATACCGGGCTTTTGTCCAGACCGCCTTTGGTACGAGTCCCAAGCTTAGAAAAGTCGAGCTTCCTCCGAGAAGTGAAGGAATCAATTACGCCCACGTCTATTTCAGAGTAACCAATCCCTACGTACCGGTCATACACAAACCGAGCTTCATGGCTACAGTGAGTTTCTTCATGTCGATTACGATAGCTGTTCGTCGCTGACGCTCCAAAGCTCAAACGAATCTATGATGACCCGATCTTCCAACCATCCATCGCCGAGACTGTTATGGTACATACAATGTTTGCGATCATGTACTGTCAATATGCCACACGTGCTCCAGAAAGTGCAGACCATCAGGCAGAATTGAACCAGTCTTCGAATTTCCATTACCATTACGCTTTAGGATTCTTTGCTCAACTCGTGGCTAGCCATACCCTGGCCGACGTACAGGCTTTGACTATGCTCTGTCTCCATATAAGGAACCTGCCAAAGCCTGGAGCTTGTTGGATGATTACGAGTATCGTCCTGAGTCTGGCCATTGAATTGGGGCTGCATCGTTCCGCGAAACGATGGGCTCCGTCTACCGAACGGAGCATTCTTGAAATCGAGCTGAGAAAGCGGGTGTTCTGGTCGATTCTACTGATTCACGTTATGGTAGCAGGTAATCTGGGACGTCCAATGGCTTTGCGATCTGATGACTGGGATGTCGAGCTGTTCGAGGCCATCGACGACGATCTACTTAGTGAGGCTGGAATAGATACCTCGAAACCGGGAAAATGCAACTTTCTTGTTGGCCATCAGGCTTCAAGGATGATCCCTATCTATATGGACCTCTACAACAGCATCTACGCCGTGAAGCGATCGCCGCAAAATTACGTCAATACAGTGCGGCGATTGGAAGGTCGTATACGTCACTGGATGGAACAGTGCCCTCGAGAATTGAGAGAGGAGTCCGCTTCCGACAATGAGCTGGGCCGAGTCCATTCTCAATATGTGGCAATATGGGGCTTACACGCCCGTCTGCTTCTCCGTCATCCGTCATTATCGCTTTCCACGTCTGCAGAGTTCAATAGCGAGAACCTCACCATCTGCATGGAGGTCTCGCAGAAGATGCTCAATCATGTCAAGCAGCTTCAGAGGTACATGAGCTTGGATGGCACCTGGCAAACTACAGCGCTTTATGTTCTCGCAGTTGCAACGAGTCTGTTCGGCCATTGGGAACGGAGAGATCAGATGACTCCAGTCGCTTTGGCTGCATTAAGGGAGGATATGGATTCATGGCTCAGTATCATTGGTGACATGAGCAATCTACTCGGTATTCATAGATCGCTGCACTCAAGATATAATCAAAGCTTACGCCTGAACAGGATCCGGTAGACAACTACAAGATGCAGTCCGAGTTCCCGTCGACAACACACTGAACGGTCTCGCCCAGCACCTCTCGGCAAGACCTCTTTCCTTTCCGGTCTCCGCCAGTGACCAATTTGGTTCACTCAGCAGGACTGTGACTCCATCGCACACGTCCACTGCTTCTACCCAGCCCAATGTCTACGAAACTTACCCCACTCCTAATGGCGTCGTGAATAGCCAAGCTCACGCCAACGCCCCAAGGAATATGTATCTTGCTGCCCCAAACACCAACGAACCTAATCACCCTCCTCAAATCTTCCCCAACCATGCCCAATACAATTACAACGTCACGTACGGAAGCAGCCCTCCTACATATGCGTCCGCCCTTCCCGCCACTGCTGCCGCCGCGAACGCTTATATGAGCGCCTACCCTAACCAAGCTGCGCAACATGCCCACGATTTTTCTCAAAACGCTACGTACGCCAATTACCATAGTCCAGGTAGCCCCACTTCTTGGCGAACATGGGCGGGAAACATGGCATCCAACCTCGAGCCAGGGCCTGAGTACATTAATTCTGCCTCTGCGCTCATGCAACTCGGTGGCCGAGGCGAAGAAAGTGCAGCGCAAAGTATACACTCGGGTATCCACATACAGCACGGAAATGCTTTGGACGGGGCTACGGCACAGGTTTGGCCGCTTAATACTTTCAATAGTGGACCGGCGGGGTGACCCGGAAGGGAGCGGCCGCAACTGTGGGGGCGCACATAAAAAAATGTATCATATCACCGGTCATCACAATGTGGATGGGATTCGAGGAAGGCTATACCCCCGGGGAAATCGCGACTGGAATTTGATGGGTAGCGACTGTCTAGGTCGCGCTCGCGGTGGCCATTCTCCACAGGAAGGCTTTTAGAAATCTTTCATCCACCGCGTTGCTGTAAGTGTAGGAAACCAAGAATACCATAGTATGATGTCAGCGCCTAGAACAGTCGATGTGCACTTTACCACATGCGCACATATCAAGGCGGGGTGGTGCAGAAGGAAACATCCCGGATTCACCACCAACAGTAGCAAAAAGGCAGAAGAAACATCACGACTAAACCGTCTCCGTATTCGCCACGACCGTGAACCATCCAAACCTCTGCACAGTGAGCCAAATCGCCGAGGGCAGTCCATTACTGAAAACCCCAACCGACACATCTCAAATACCTCCTCTGCCATCCCTTTCCGCCCTTCTTCTACTTCTCCCACGTACTAGTACGTAGTCCAGCCCGATCCCGACCTCGCGCCCTTCTTTTCAAGAAAACCCGGCCGGATCCCACATCGTCGTCGGCCGGCAGAACGACCCCCTTCGACGCAGCGTGTGGAATACGCGCGCGGCGTGGTTTGATCTGGAAGGACTGGATGGATGGATGGATGAATGGATGAATGAATGGAAGGGAGAAAGGAAGGAATTCTGTCCTTTTGGCTGATCCTGGGGAAGTCTTGGATCTTTTCCATTTCCATTCCCGATCCTACCTCGGCCGACCGGATGTCCTCCCGCTTGTTGGTCACACAGCATCTACGGCCTCCCTCTGTCTATGTCCTCCGACGAGGCTCCGTTTGCCATGCTGCTTGGCCGGGGCCGGGCACGTACTCCCCACGCAACAGCTGACGTAGTCGACGTTGCAGCCGCTATCGTTCGGATACGTATACGCGGCGCCCCGGCACGGCTCGAAGAACGGCGCCGCGGCCGTTCCCTCGGCTTGGTCGCTGGCGCAGAGGGGGTTGTAGCAAATGGGGCCGGGACCTTCGTTGGCGCAGGTGATGGGGTCGGCGAAGAGGGGGTGGTTGCAGCCCGTCACGACGGAGCCGCCGCAGGAGCACGTGATGGGGATCGTGTAGCCATCGACTGCGGTCGAACGTTGGCGGGAATTTTATGAAGTTGGAGGGAAAAGACGGTCGACTTACCGTAGCTGACGTCGATGTTCGGCTGATACGTAGGCAGGCTGAAACTGCCTTCGATCTTGCTACCACTGTTGATTACAGACATGACCTTGCCGACGGCAATGCGGCCGGCCCAGCCACTTGGGTAGATAATGGTCGTCGCGCCGCCGAGAGGGCCAGGCGTGGGGTTATTGATGGCGCTTGAGCTGCCGGAGTCGTGCTGGAACGAGATCGACAAGCCAGCTCCGAAGGAGTTGGTGACGGCGATGGTCAAGGGGCCGGCAACTGCTGGTGCTGCGCCGACAGCAGGTTTAGGGGCCGGGGTGACGGTGGGGTCGAGAGCTCCACCGATGGCGGTGCCGAGACCGTCTTTGGAGATGACGCCTTCGGCTGCTAGGGCTGGGGATGCGAGAGTGAGGAGGAAGGGGACGAGGGTGTTGGTGAGATGCATGGTGGTGATGTTGGAGGGCGATGGGATCAAGGTATCTTGGTAGGACTGGGGTGTTGGAAGCAGAGGAGAGCGCTGCTCGGATATTGAACGAATTCAAGAGTCGAGACATCTCGAGGGCTTTATATATAGGTTTCAAGAACTTCTCGTCGCCTCGCGTTGCAATGACCCAGGCCCTGCAACCGGGACCGGGACCGTTTGGGCAAGAGCACGAGGCGGAGTTTGAGCCTGCAACGTGTTTGCACCAGATCTAGCACGTATACAGCGTCTTTGACGATCAAGAAGCATGAATGACTGGATATCATTTCGTAATCGAAGAACCATTGGTCTTCCTCGCCGGTCCAGAACACTCAGATAACGCGGTCTTCTCTTAGGCCACATCGGAAGACGCATTTCTTAGGCCATATTTGCACAGGTCCGACCTATTATAGCAGCATGGTGGCTGACCAATCGATTGAGACATTCACTTTCAAGTGACCGCAACATTCCAAACGATAGGATGGCAATTGTTTGGTCTACTCTGTACACGTTTTTAGCTGTCGGTAGTGATGCTTGAGCAGATCTGGAAGGTGCAGTAACATCAGAAGATTCCCTGTCTACAACGCTCGCAGAGTATCCTTGAGATTTATGGCCAGCCGAGTTTGGATATGCTCCGCATGACAAGATCTTGGTCAAAGGTTTGCTGCGCAATTTTCTGTTGATTCGGGAAGCTCATTCGAGGCTGACTTCGATTCGATAGCTTGATAGAGCAGGAATGTAACGTGAAGACGTGATAGCTCCGAAGTAGTGTTTAGGACTGCTCTGGGCGTAGCTATGAAATATTCCCGTAGAAAGATCAAGTCTGACTAGTTTCTTCGAACGGTGGGCAAGAGCGGACTTTAGATTTATTCAACATCTTGGAAGATCAAGGTCTAGGAATGGCGCTAAGGGGGTTGCTGCTTCGACAGATGTGGCAAGATAGTGGCAGCGACCGAGATGGAAGCGGGCCCCCAATGTCAAATTTTAATCTTGAGTTTATCGCAGCACTTGCTCAGAAAGGGAAGACGGAAGACAAGTGCAGAAAGACGATTGACACATGGTGAGTCTTTCTGCTAGGCAGGGCAGCGGCGTAGCTTCAAAGGAAGAAGGGTTTAGATACCAATCGAGTACTTGAACCGTTCCTGCATTAGTTTTGGAAAGCTTTGTGCAAGGGATGAGTCTTTTTGACCGTTCAGTAAATGTTTTCTTGTCCGGAAATATTTGTAGAGTGGCTCGATGGAGTTGTCAACAGCTCCTGCAATAGCAATGCACGGTCAAGTGTCTCTCACGACTATCATCCTAAAGGCTTGTTATGAGGTAAACAGCATAAAGAGATGTCCCAAAAAGAATGCGCAGACGGCGAAGACCCACCCCCCCACACCCGTGTTGCAGGTCAGTTGTAACCGAATCCTAATAATCTCCGCTGCCATCTCAGAGCTCGATTGCGCTAAGCAGGGTCATTGAAGCGGGTTTGGTGCTTTAAGTGGCATTAACTACCTAGTCAAACTGCAACATAGTCCAAGCTCGGAGCCAACCCCGCTCGGTAGGCGCTGAGCTTTTTGAAATCCGACGTGGACAGCTACGCTGCCTGCGCCATTTTGTCTAACGGTCAACAACCGTGTGCATACTTGTTCGCGAACCGGCACAGGAAGACATCCGAGCTCGAGGAAATCTCAGTAGTCAGCTGGAATGATTCTCTAGGTCTTGCATTCAGGCTACTCATTTGAGCGGTAAGCAGGGTAAATACGGCACAGGAAAAGCCCCTCGTCTGCAGTTGCTGCCTTCTCATGAGTAGGCATTGAACGTCGACGGTTGCCCGCATCTGACGCGTGCATAAGATCGAGAAAGCCATACTGTCATTCCGTAATGTTCAAGTCATTTGACAATGGGAGGTGGTAATGGTCTGCACGCTTGGCCAGATTGAATATATCTCGCGCTTAGCTCTTTGATGGTAAACGCGGGAAGCGCGCTTCCAAAGCCAAAACAATAAAGTAGACCTTGAGATCCATAAGGAACATTGAGCATTGCCCAGACCTTCGAAATGGCTTTCCTGCAATCTCTAAACCTGGCGCACATTCCTCCAGATTTAGCGGTCCATATTGCACTGTACGCAGACGTGCAGAATGCGCCTTTTCTGCGGGACCAATTACTCCAAGGCAGTCCCGCTTTTGAGTATGCTCTCATCGATGCTACTGTAGTGCGTAAGCCTTGCTTGCTGCAAATCTAGGTGCTGAGAATGCAGTGTTAATGGTATGGGTAGATTCTCTCCACCACACATGTGCTAGCAGCCGTCTTTAGAGCGGCGAACGACCATTTGAACGGGAGATTGAGGAGTCGGAACGTGCACAGCGAGATCGTGTTTAGTTTAGGGGCGAATAACAACGTACATCCTCTCCGTTATCGCCATAGATGGCCTCTTCGGAGTCCTGAGCGGCTTGCTGATTTCAGTGATAGATAGCACAATCCCTCCGCACATTCGGCATCACCGCTACTACCACTGACCTTCTCGCCATCAAGCTCTCCACGAACCCTAGCATCACAGCGTCGACTGTCTCTGAGCACCTGGCTGCCTCGGTGAACGGTACTCCAGTCGAGTTCAGCGATGCCACTCTGGCAAAAATGGCAGATGGAGGAAAAATCAGGAAGCTGTATAAGCTTAGTGGTGTCGGAGAAGCAGATTCAAAGGGCAAGAGGAGGCGGAAGGACGGGAGTGAGGAGGGCAGTGGTGGTGTCGATGGCATCAAGGCAGGGAGTACAGGCTATGATGCTGAGAGGGAGAGGAAAGAGCTCGAGGTTGCGATTCTGGGGTTGATGGCTTTGAGGGGAGCGGTGTGAAATGGAAGCTTGAAGACGAAAGGTGGCTTTTAACGACTTACGAGAATTCAGTGGCTAGTCACCCTCTGCCTGGATTTTGACCTTTTCCCGTATGAGAGTCTGACGCAATGTGCGCGTAGAGTCGCGAGCCCAACGGCCCGTTCGCCTTGGAACACAGTGCTCTGCGGCCACATCAGGCCTATCTTCTGGTTTCTGATTTCAAAAGATGTCTTCAGTTATTGGGCGGTACTAGTACAGAGACGGACTTTGTAGACGACGAGGCAGGTGGCAGGTTTGAGGGAAGCTTTCATGGGACGAAGTAGTCATTGTGTCGTTCGAGGCATGAATAAATATCTTGTGCGGTGGACTGCATTTTCTCCTACAGTCATAGCCAAGAGCATTTAATAAGCAATCTGCCAGCGCTCCTCCGTTTCTAAAAGCACACTTGCCTACATCGCTGCTAGTTACCACCTCCCCCTCGCACCACCCCTTAGATTCTCCCTCCAAAGACAACAAACACTCCTTTCCTCACACCACTCCTTGACTAGACCTGGCCATACCTCGTCGTCCTCGCCCACCCTGTCCAGGCCTTCCGTATTCAACCATACAGTAAGGTCTTCCAGGACGATAGGATCATACATCAGCATCTTCTCGTACCAAGTCAGGTTCTTGACGTCATGGGTAGGTGGAAAGGTGGTGACAGCTTTAGTTATTTGGGAGAAGAGAAGTACTCGGTTCTTGTCTTTGCTGGCAGTAGTAATATTAGTGGTCGAAGTTCCGAGCTGTTGACTTAGCTGAAGTTGGCCAGGTGACTTTGGAGGTGAACGCCGGCGCGGTGGGGAGGGAGTCGGTGGACTCGAGTCGTAGATTTCGTCGACTGCAGCTGATACCAGAGCTTCCGACAGGACTGCTTTCGATTTTCGCTTTCGTTTCGGTGGTGTCGTCGCTGTTGGATCTTTCTTGGGTCGTCCGCGAGGCTTTTTTGCCGGTACATCGTCATCTTTGTCAGCGGTCGCTGCTACCACGTCGGAAGTTTTAGGTGGCCTTTCTCTCTTCTTGGAAGGACTTGTTTGTTTCAACGTCTCAGTGTTGATATTCTCGACCACGGGCGGTGGGAGGCCCACGTTGGCTGGAGCCTCATGAAGAGTCATCGACATTTTACTTTCCCAACATCGTTTTAATAGCATGATCATTGCCTCTCTTCTCCTGATAGTTTTGAATTTGTATGAAGCAATCTCGTTACGTAATTGGACGTCAGTGAAGCCTTCATAATTGGGCATCTGATTCGTTGCAGGCTTTGCTATAGATGTTTTCTTGACGGGAGGTTTACTCTTTGGACGGTTTCTCAAACCAGCTTCGGCGACAGATCGTGGCATAACCAGGTCGGGCTCTTCTATTTGTTGCTGAAGGTCTGCAGTGTCTTTCAAATTGAGCTTGGGAGCAATTGACTCTACTTCGCCAATATGTGAAGGTGCGCCGTCTTCTGCTTTGAGCTGGGGTTTCAAAGAATCTGGCACCTTTGGAGCACTAATACGCTCTGTCGCAGCAGGGATCGGCTTTGGTGTATCCGCAAGATTCACTATCTCCGCTTCGACAAGAGAACCATCGATGTTCCGAGACGCCGCGGACCAAAGACTTTTCAATGCCGTTGTTGCTCGCACATTGGATGATCTTGGCCTGCCGGAAGGTAGATCCAGGAAGTCGTAGTCTTTTGCCGGAAGTTGCTTTTGCTCCAACGTCGACTCTGAATCCTTCATGGCCTGCTGAAGATCTTTAATAAAGGTTGGTGATTCTTCACGTACGAGCTGACTGGATGTGCCAAAGATCAGCTCTTGATTTCGGGCATTCTTCATAGCCGACTCTGGCGAAAGTAGGACGGGCTGCTTCTGGACCGACTTTTTCGCTTTGCTCGTCTTTGGTTTCGACGTTGCCATTGTCTTCACTGGCGATCTGCATCTCATTGTCACAGGCGTGTCAGGATTATCAATTGCACCTCTTGCATGAATCACCGATTCAGCCGTGGGAGTCCCGAAATATTGCAGCAATGATGATGCAGCCATAGATCTTACTGGTGCAAAGGGAGCAGTAGCCTTCTCCGTGACAGTTTGCGGTTTCTTCTTGGGCGACTTGCATCTCTTGGGCTTCTCGGAGACGCGAGGCGCGGGCACGCCATTCACAAGCTCGATTTTCCTTCTCTTCACTATTGCCTCGCCGTTCCCTTGGCGAGTGCTTTCGCAGATAACAACAGAGCTGTCCTCTTTCTGTGCGAAGCCAAAGTTGCCCAAGAGGTTACCAAAACCAGCAGTTAGTGGCTGCTTCGCTAGAGTTTCGTCTACGGGAAGCTCAGAGTCGACAGATTTCTTGGGGTTCTCCGATAGAGTAGGATCAGGAGCTGTATTTTTACAGGGCGTCCATTCCTTTCGCCTTGTGATAGCCTTCTCTAAGCATAAATCTCGGAACTCTTCCTTGGCTCTCAGATCCTCTTCTTGCGTGGAAGCAGGAGGTCTCGGTGGCGCAGGAACAACTTCCTTCGCCTTCTTTGTAGGACCAGCGGCCTTCTTACCAGCGTTCCCAGCGCCAGGTTTAGTAATCTTGGTCTTCTTGATAGTCGTTTGCGCCTCACTCTCGTCTTTGCTCTTTTTCTTTCGGCTCTTCTTTGGGGCGAGAATATCAGCGTTTTCAACGGCATTGGCTGTCCGGACCACCGCTGTCCGGATGACCTTTTCCTGACCGTTCTCCGTGTGCTTTTCGTGTAGCACTCTGGGCTTCCTGAATGCTGGTACCTTCTCCTTCTTGGCCCCCAGCTCCTTGGGCTGTTGTTCCGTAATCTTGCCGATACTCTGCATGTCGTATCTTTCTGAAGCTCCCAGTCTATTGTTACTCAGAAGGGGCCCCGCCTCGTCAACCGAGCGAGCTCTGCGCATTAACGTCGATGCGCTTGCAAACCCCGTCGCGGCATCTGTGGGGATCGGTGTCGCCCTGCTGCCACTCACCAGGCTTGGGCACATGACTGAGAATAACAGCGATGGAGAAGGTAGTCCCGGTGAGGAAGACCTAGCCACGGCGGCCGCATGAGGTGGAGTGATTGCAATGGGGGAGCAGGAAGGGGAAGAGGAGAGCACGGTGGTGGCCATTACCCTTTTGGCGGAGCGCAACCCGCGCTCGAAGGAGATGAGACGCGTCAGGACTGGGGGTTCATTGCCTCTGGAATCCTAAGTACCACAGTACAGCAAGATAAATTGCACATGAACGTGTGTAAATAGATTGGTTGCAATGGAGTCAACACTGGGTCTCTCGGGTAATGGTGCCACGCATTTACCTCGCTACTGTTTGTATCTCGGTAATAGTTTGCTCGGATCGTTACTATGTCTAAGTCTTGGCATCCCCTCCCCACCCCCCGCCTGGGGAGTCTTGGCACCTGCAGCTGCTCAGCCTGCTCTCTGTGTCTCGTCTGCCAATCTTTGGAAGCTGGTCTGTGCACCCTCAAGCCTGAACCCACTATTGTTACTGAAATCTTTCCCGAACACTTGCGTCGTTCCGACTGCGGTCTTCTCCGTCATCATACATATTCAATTAATACATTGAACTGGTCTCTAACCTCTAACCCTAGGCTGGAGAGCAACTTGGAGCGCTTCAACTCAAGACGTTATCTAATCTTGTGCGGGCGTCGCGTATCCATAAATCTGATACACTCGTTTCGAAAGCCTACTTTGGCAGTCATTCGCGGCGGTTGTTCTCGCACGACATAACCTTCTTTGGCCTTCCTGGTATCTCAAGCGCATGCACGACATACCACTCGCTTTTGAATTGAGCGCTTACCACCCACAGCTGCGCCCCACCGAAAGTGAAGACCTTCAGAAACACGTGAATTTGACGAGCGGAAAATTTGATCCACTGAAATCTCCAACATACAAGAGACACGGTCGTATGCGACTGGATACTTGGAGTCGAGGGGTCTCGCGGAAAACAATAATCAGTGCTGTCCACCAAAACGCACCTAAAACGCCGCTGCATTCTATCTTTGGCCCAGCGTTGGCCCATTTTCCCCGTCTCGTCAGAAGATTGCATTCAACTGGCCAGACGTTTCTGGACTCATATAGACCAACAAAGTTCTGCACGTGAAGTTCTACACGCTCCAGATCGTGCATAAGAAGCTCAAATGTCAACAGTCTAAGGGATGCTGCCGAGTTCTCGGCGCTCTCCTCTCGTTTCGAGAGCAAGAAGGACCCCCACGCGTACCTGATTGGTGGCCAGCAACTTCGAAATGCGGCGTCACAGGGCGGGAGCCCCAACGTTTGCCAGTAAAGCGAACGCGGCTCCAGTCCCTGATGCCTTGTCGTTGATCAGGACCTTCAATTCTGAGACAAATCCAGCGAGACCCATTCGACCATCTCCTCTTACAGCATCGACTATCCATGGCATACCACTTGACATGTACGACCGCATACGAGCATTTCCCCTCTTTCTTTCCGCTCCCGACGCGTTCCTCGCTGCCATTGGAAAGCACCTGCGGCCTCAATCACACGCGCCTCATGACTACATTTTAACCGAGGGAGAAGATGCGAAGGCTATGTACTGGTTGGTACGTGGAGCAGTGGCTGTCACTTCAAGAGATGGGGAAAGCACATACGCTGAGCTGAAACCTGGGGCATTCTTCGGAGAGATTGGGATCCTGATGTCAATACCTCGGACGGCCACAATCGTTGCACGTACCAAGTGTCTGCTTGTAACATTGAAGAAAGAAGATCTTACGAAAGAGCTTCCCAGATTTCCCGAGGTCGAGCGAGCTATCAGAGACGAGGCTTCGGAGAGGTTATCTATTCTGAAACGAAAGAAGCAGGAGAAGCTGGCATCCTCTCAATCCGAACCACCAGCCACCTTGGGACGAGGGGAGAAAAGAGCGCGGGATGGCGAAGACGGCGATATTGTCATGCCAGAAGCAGATGACAGACGGCAGAATGGGATACAGACTAACAAGAAGCGAAAATCACCATCACCAAGCCTAATTGATACGACTGTCTCAAGCGCGCTTGGCGATGGCCTTGTGAACGTCCGACAACTTTTAAAAGAATTGCCTTTGTTTTCCGAACTACCTCCCGATATGCTACATTTCCTAGGCTTGAACGCCCAGCCATGTACTTACCCGCCATTTACAGACATAATTCAGCAGGATTCGCAAGGCCGCGAGGTATTCTTCATCGTTCGAGGAGAGGTGGAAGTTGTTGATGAGAAGGCCCCTGGGCAGAATTTACGCACGCTGGCCAATGGTGCTGGCCGAAATATCAAGCGTGGAACCCAGATCAAGGCCCGCCTCAAGCAAGGCCAGTATTTTGGAGAAGTAGTTAGCTTATCGCTAGCGCCACGGCGAACTGCAACCGTTCGCTCGGTGTCGTCGGTTGAATGTCTGATGATCACCGGTGAGGTTTTATCGAACTTTTGGTTGAGGTGCCCTCCAGCCGTGAGACAGCAGGTCGAAAAGACTGCGAGGCAACGGCTGAAGTCTGGCTCAGACGGTGACGTTATCATGACTGACGCTGAAGACTCTACGCCTCCTATCGCACAGCTCGCTATTGCCGAACGGACCAAACACAAAGGTGCGAGGAAGAAATCGGTCCCGAAGGTGACATTCTCACATACAAAGCTTGAAACACCTCGTAAGCCTAGCCGAATCGAGGACCGTCCAATCATTGAACCTGCTGATCCTGATCCCTTCATGAATGTGGATCTCGACAAGTCATTCTCGAGGTCACGGCGCAGCTCACTCGCTCCACCATTGACAGAAGGCGAGGAAGGCGAAGGCAAAGAAAACATCGACCGCCGAAATTCACCACCCCATATTGTATCAACGCCTGCCAAGAAGCTCAAGCATGCCATGTCGCCACCTGAGACAAGTGCAAAGCCTAAGCGACCGAACACTTTGCAACGTAGACCGAGCGAGTTCAGCCAGGGTACGCTCCCAGACAGTGTGTTGATCTCCATTTTCAAGTATTTCGAGTTGCACGATCTTATGCGTCTTCGTTCGATCTCGTTGCATTGGTCAAAGCTGCTCAAGGAAACTCCAGAACTCATACGAGAACTTAATCTTACGCCTTACAATCGCAAAGTCACAGATGAGGTTCTGGTCCACCGTATATGCCCTTTCGTCGGTACGAGGCCTCGAGTCATCGATATTAGTAATTGCTTCCATATCAGTGACGAAGGATTTGCAGCTCTTTCAAATACCTGCGGCGCGAACGTAACTACGTGGAGGATGAAGAGTGTCTGGGACATTACAGCCCAGGCAGTCTTAGAAATGGCAAACAAAGCTAAAAGCCTCGAGGAGGTGGATCTGAGCAATTGCCGTAAGGTCAGCGACAACCTACTTCAACGAGTTGTTGGCTGGGTGGTCCAAGGCAATCCACAGAACAATGCGCATGGACGCCACGCAGCCGCAAGATCTGTCGGTGCGCCCATACCTCCCAATCAACCTCCTCCTGGAACTGTTTTCGGATGCCCAAAGCTCAGAATCCTCACTTTATCCTACTGCAAACATGTTACGGATCGATCGATGGCACATATGGCTTATCATGCTGCTTCACGGCTTGAGTCAATTGATTTGACTCGATGCACAACCATCACTGATCAGGGATTTCAGCACTGGGGTCAGTTCCAATTCACGAGGTTGACGAAGCTCTGTCTCGCTGATTGTACCTATCTGACGGACAATGCTATCGTGTATCTGACGAATGCGGCTAAGGGTCTCAAAGACCTTGACTTGGTAAGTAGCATTATTGAGATGCCAGGACTATGAGTTGACCACGTTCACAGTCATTTTGCTGCGCTCTCTCAGATACGGCTACGGAGGTCTTGGCCCTTGGCTGTCAGCAACTGAGGAAGCTCAACCTATCATTCTGCGGCAGTGCAGTATCAGACTCGTCACTCCGCAGTATCGGCCTTCACCTTCTTGAACTGCGTGATCTTTCTGTCCGAGGATGTGTTCGAGTCACTGGGGTCGGCGTCGAGGCTGTTGTTGACGGTTGCCACAAGCTCGAAGCGTTTGATGTTAGTCAGTGCAAAAATCTCAACAAGTGGCTCGAGAGCGGAGCCATGGAGAAGTTTGTACAGCGAGTGAAGTTCGAGACGGTGGCTAAAGGGAGGGCCAAGGTCCAATGACTTTGTTTGCTGGTGTTTAGAGAGGATATTGGGGGAAATTTGACTGCATGTCAAGCCATTTATTGCTGCATTTACAGCTGAAAAGCTTGCTTTGCTGTCTGTGAGCGTATGATGATATCACGAGAGTTTTGAACATAGTCGAAATTTGACATCTTTTCTACGCCTCCATCTATTTTCTTTCACGCCTTACTTTGCTTAGGTACTTTAGAACCGATGATGGATTCATGAATAGCGTCAAACCTTGCCACGACATTCGCCCTAACCTTCTAATATACTAGCGGCATTCTTAAACCCGCCTCTTCTTCCCGAATGTTCCTTCGTTGAACCTGACACTCTATACACAATCACCTTGAACTCGACGTACACAGCAGTAATCATGGCGTTCGTCCTTCGTCGGCCGATGTCCATCACCACATGCATCAAGCAGCTTCCCAAACCATCCCAAAGCACAAGCCGTGCATTCCATAGCTCGCCGAAACCCTCTACCTTCACCACGAAGTCATTCACACCCATCACTGCCCTCACCAAGTCTCGAAATGCCTTTCGGCAATCCTTTCGTCGCACCTACATGCAGCCTGGCGGCCAGGTCGTGCGCCCCGACACCGGCAGCATGGCCCAACGGCTCCTCTACGGCGCCGCCATCGTCGGCGGTACGGTAGTCGCCACGAATTTCATGTTCAACCGCGAGACCCGAGAAGATGGCGGCATGCCACCGTACGAACGGGCGTTCCTGAACGAGACCTTTATGCACACCGGGCTGGGTATCGGGATCATCGGTGTGGCGGCCAATGCTCTGCATCGCAGCGGTTGGAGTTACAGGCTCATGACTGCGAATCCTTGGGTCGTCATGGGCGTG